CAACACATCCTGCGCTGTGAAAATGCGTCTCGATGTTGCTGGATGGTCCACTGTGCAAATGCAACCGTGTGACACATTTCAATGGGGGATGAGAGCGCGGCCGCGTCTACGGCGGGCGTGCGTGCGTGCAGCTGGGTAAAAATAATTTTGAGGTGGGCGCCCTTCGAAGGTTGAAGGCACACATGTAGGGTATGAATGGATAAAATCACACATTGCTCAGGTGCATATCATAAGGTGATTTCTTTTTTGAGAGGGGGTATATAGCACTTGGGGCGGTCTACTTACGCACTGCCTCCTTTTTAGGGTCTAGGGCACTGGCAGTCTGCTGAATCTGGCCTATTTTGTTCTGGAGGACCCAGACCCGTTGGTTGGTGGTAATGATGTCGTTTTCCAGCTCCTGAAATAAGGAGCAGGCGTGCCGGGCCAGGTCGGACAGCTGTCGCAAGGTCCGGGACAGAACCACGTTACTGATGGCACACAGGTCCTCGAAAAGCAGACCTTCATCGTTAGGGATCTGGTGCCTGCACAGAAGCTGCGGCTCCACAATCCTTTTGGCGAATGGCATCTTGCACGCCAGAAATAATAGGAGTTGTAAGCCAAGTGTAAAATCCCACTGCCTAGAAGAAAAAGGGAGAAGGGGGAAACAGACAACATCCAAATATATAAATCCACGAGAAACCCGATGAGGTTCAGGCCGACCGCGCGTTATCCCCGGGCGTCAATCCAAAGTTCCCAGATTCTCCTTGAGATCCTCCATCCTGCTGCTGGTTTCAGGGGATCACTCACACTCCCGCTCACACACGCACACACATGCACACACATGCAGGACACAGCTAAGCTCAGGTCAGCGGTGTGAGGATGCGTGTTGAGTCTGCGATCATGGGTTGCCTCCGTGCTGCGTCAAACCAGCCAGAACGAAAAGGAAACACCGCTCAAATCTTTCAAAATAAGAACCTGGACCAAGTGGAACTATAAACGGTGAAGGAGGAGGGGTCTCTAAAATTGATTGTCGATGACAAAACATAAAACAACAACATACAGAATATCGCTAAGTGGCTCAGCTTTAAATACGCCAATATTTTTTCGTACCCAGTCTGCGCACCTTAATCTTTTATTTTTCAAATCTGTCTTTGCCTTTCCGATCTTATTGTGGTCATTTTTCTGGGGATTGTTGCAGCCTGTCTCTGTGGCCTGAGCAGTGTGCTGGCTGAGAGGATGAGAGAGAAGACTGAGGTAAAACCCGGAGCTGTGGACACGTGTGGACAGGGAACGGTCCTGAACATCAACTTGTACAGCTACAACTTTTGCATCATGACAGCAGGACACCCGGACAGGAGCGTTTCATAACAAGACGACAGAGTTCAGACTTTTTCTATTTGACCTTGGTGTGGGTGATAAAGTAACACTGAGGATGTTCATTTCACTTCATTTTCAATATCAAACTGTTGCACATGACACAACAACCCCTGGACTGAGAATGGAGGTTCAGTTCAGCTCCATATAGTCGATCCTTGAAGTTTCATAGGAGCTGACCTCCAAGCAGCACACCTTCATCACCTTCAACTTTGGAATTTCACACAGCTAAACCTAATATTGAAATCGTCACTGTATCACAACAAGTCTATCGGATGAAATTATCCAGTATGATCTGCAAACATAATGTTTCTGAGGCCGTTCACTAATGTAAATATTCTGTTTGGGCTCCTGGAGACCCCTGGGCTTCTTAACCAGCCTGCATACCGACTCCAAACCACAAAACTTTGTGTTGTTTAAAAATGGTCACAATCTGATCGACTCTATGATGACAGGTGCTGTTAACCATCCAACCATGATAAACATCTTCGAGTAATTAACAACTGAAGAATTACACAATAATAATAAAAAACAGATCAGTACCAAAGAGTGGGAGTAAAGAGACAATCCAGTGTTTCCAACAGCCTAGCAGCTACATGTAGTGTGCATATAATTATGTTTCAATTTTCTGGTATAAAAAGAGATTTAAGAAAAAAAGAAAATCCATGATTGTAAATTTCTGTCAAATCTGTTTCCTTCCTTTCTAGTAGAAGACTAAAAAGCAGTACAGTACAAAATAGAATTTAATGCAACACATACATACAGAATAAACCATCAGAATATGATGCAATGCACACTTCACTGTACAGTATATGTATGGTCACAAACACTGTGGCTCTAAATTGTTAAACTGTAAACTTCTCAGAGCAGCTCACCTACCGCAGGGACCTATACTGTAGCTGAACGATGTCCAGTGAACACTTTTTTTTTGTTTGTTTTTTTTTTTTTTTTGCTGAATGTCAGTTTCCAGAATGCTAAGCCTGGCTGTTGTCTCATTCATTCACGGTGATTAGCCTATAGCCTCTAGGCTGAGTCTGTATATAGACATGTCGGCAGTAAACTTGCTGTTGCAGCAAATTTGAGGCAGCGCAGATTGACAGTAACCCATCATGGACCTCACTCTGAGCTGCCAAGAACACATCATTGTAAACTGTTCCATGTATGCGTCCCAGCAAATAAATCATACAGTGATCATTTAAAACAAGCTAGGGAAAACTGATGCTAGTGGGAACGAACCATATTGTGACGGTGTGAAATTCTCCATGGCTTTACATTTTTCTATATAACTTGAAAATTGCCCTCCCTTTAAATGTGAGGCATGTTCACCAAGTGACATGTTAATATCAAAAAGATGTCAAGTGAGCTCAGCAGTACTGGGAAGTAACGAAGTAAAATTACTCAAGTACTGTAAAGTACAAATTTGAGGTACTTGTTCTTTACTTGAGTATTGATGTTACTTCATGTTTCCAAAGGCAGACCCCGGGCTTTACTTCTAACTCCACTACATTTATGTGATAGTTGCACTTATTTTGCATATAATTTCTCGTAAAAAGAATTATGATGAGCTTTTGAAATGTTAGGCATTCTTCAGTGGAAAAAAAAAAAAAACCTGATCAAGTCACTTTATTCAAAGTCACTTTATTCTATTATGAAAAGTGAAAGAAAAACACAAAAAACTGCCATCTTGGGGGAATATTTCAACCTGTTGTTCAGCATAGTGAGTACTTTTATTGTTGTAACTTTAACTACATTTTTTTTGATAATACTTTGCTACTTTTACTAAAGTAAGATTTTGATCTCTAATGAAGTATGTTTGAATTGTTTTATTACAGTGCTGTTTTTACTTAAATAAAGGATCTGAGCACTTCTTCCTCAACTGTGGGAAATCATAATTTTTCCTTCCATTATTTTAGTGAACAAAAGGCAAAAATCTGTCATTGTACTCTCTGTTCACAGCGTTTCAATCCTCTGACGTTCATCTGGTGAAATTCATCAAAATGGCTCCACGCAAATAGCATCATGTACAGTTTATACTAGCAACAAGTGGAGGCTTATTATCAGAACTTTGTAAGTGAAGTTAATTTCAACAGGGATCAACAACAAATTTTTGCCCCGGAGGCTCTAGGAGGTTAATCCGGCCACGATGTGAGGCTTCAGCAGTCTGCGTTAGACACATTAAGTGGGCATCTTTCAAAGTGGCATGTTTTTACATTTACCCTGTTTCCTTGATGAGCTGCAGTGGGATGATAATAACACAAAAAGAGAATTTCATCCTTAAAAGACAGTTAGTTTGGAAAACCTACCGTCTGTAATTGTAATTGTTCCTCCTGATAAGATCCACAGAACTCATTCTGTGGATCTTATCAACCAATAATGGCTTTAATGTACATATGGGCATGTCTTTTACAGTAATAACAGGTTTGAAAAAAAATGTGAACTTATCCTTTATGGAGATTGATTATTCCAACCGTTTCCACAGGAAGGCACTGTTGCATTCAAGTTAATGTTCAGGGAGGCAATGCAGGTGCTCTGAGTGTATTTCCAGCTCTGATAGAAACATGATCAATGAGAACGAGGATGATGGCACTAAAAGCACAAATTAACAAGCCGTGATGGAGTGGTAAACTGAGGCCCGAGTGTTGAAAGATTTCCTGAACTGATGTTATGTTGTTGCTGCTGCTGCTGCTGCTGCTGCTGCTGCTGCTGCTGTGGATACAAAAACAATTGTGTGAAAATGTTTTTATTTTATTGATATTTTAGTAGATTATTGATTTGTTTGGAGCAGACGAAGAGATTGTACTGAGTAATCTATTAGTGATGGTAATAAATCTAAATAATAATAAACCTTGCCCTCACAGCTGATTTCTTATCAGCACTGTGGTGCGTGACTTGCATTTTGTTTTGTGCTCGGAAATCGATAAGAAAGTTGGAGGCTTGTCTAATGCTATATAGTTCCTCTGTTAATTATAGTGATGATAATAACTTTATTTGTAGCGAACCTTTCAAAAATAAGGAATAAAAGCAGGAATAAAAATTAAATAAAATCTGAACATAAAAGATAAAACAAGAAACAGAACAAGGAAAACAATTACAACAAATTCCACCAGTTGAGAAAAAGCCTTCAGATAAAAATGAGTTTCAAGAGGAGATATAAAAGCTCGTGATATAATATTTTTGGTGTCTTTCATGTAAAGGTGCAGAAATTTTAGTAAAATGCCATGATAGAAATTAGTTTCCACTTGATTCATTTACAACATTCATTGTAATTTATACATTAGTCATCTTGCTTTCGTATTCATAACATCTGACTTTTCATTTTATGCCAAAAGATTTTGATTTGCATTCTCATGTTGACAGGCTGAAAGCCAACAGACACCTTGTCAGAGGAGCGTATTCACTCACTATGCACAAATGTAACTAACTGTACACCTTTGTCTATTTTGCGACTGATAATCTATCAAACTATAACATAGACTCCCACTGCCCGGTGACGTTCACTGTTCTATCTGTAAATGAAAACTCAGATACACCCACAGTTATGGCTCTGCTGTCCAAAGGCCAAGGCAGCACAGAAGGTTATTGAGACTGTATAACTGCACAGTGTTCCTCCTTCTCAGAGTTAGTTTGTGTGTGTGGATGGTGCTGAAGCAGCCAAGATGTCTGCTAGGATTCTTGTAACGTTGCTGGCTGTGTCCTGCGCTGTGTCTGCTCAGTCAGACGTGGAGCTCAAGGCGAAGGAGTTTCTGCAGAGGTTCGACGAGGAGGCCACGGCGCGTATGTACCAGTACTCTCTGGCATCATGGGCCTACAACACCAACATCACAAAGGAGAACTCAGACAAACTGGTAAGCACCGAGGGAAACGTCTGAAAGATGCCCAAAGATATTGAGCATGTGGTTAAATGAAGTAAAAAACAGACGTTGTGTAAATGACTGATTGACATAATTTGATGTGTCTGTTTTCATTCTCTGCAGTCAGAGCAGGGGCAAATTTGGGGCAATTTCTACACCCAGATGTCAGAAGAGTCCCTGAAATTCCCCGTCGACCAGATCAAGAATCCAGAAATCAAATTACAGCTCATCTCCTTGCAAGACAAAGGCTCTGGTGCTCTATCCCAGGATAAGGCTGCACATGTAAGACAGCTTCTCCATGTTAAATGTCTTTATGTCTTAAAACACATTTCTTTCATGTTTATAAAAGCTGCACCTTCTGGACTAGTTGCTACAGTAGTTTTGAGTTAGTTCCATCACTTGTATTGATCAACAAATCACATTTAACCTTGTGTTTTCTTTTCAACCTGCCTGCAGCTGAGCAAGATCATGAGCGAGATGAGTACAATCTACAGCACAGCAACAGTGTGTCTGATTGACGACCCCCTTAACTGCCAGACTTTGGAGCCAGGTAAACTCTGTTAATAAGGACCTGTTGTGGCAACGTGGGTTCCTGCTACTGACAGGCAAAGTTAGTTAGAGCAGTTTATAATTAACATGGACACTGAGAAAAGGAAAATGGATTTTTTTTTAAGTTTTTGAACAAAAGTTTTACCAAGATCCTGATCATTATAATGTTTAGTTCTTTAATTTTAAATTCGGCCAAAAACAAATTAAATACAGGATCACAGTGACGTGTTTCCAGTGGTGGAAAGCAGCAAATTTCCTTTTTATACTTCTACTCCACTACGTTTTAGAGTGAAATATCATAATGAAATATTTTCACCTGCACCTGAAATATTTTCTACTACATTTATCTGACAACTGTAGTTACTTTTTACATTAATATTCTACATGAAAAAACAGTCTGATGAGCTTATAAAATGCAATGCATTGTTAAAAGTAGTTTAATTTATAATAATGCATATTTTGTAAACGGATCATATTTATAACTAGCAACTGTAGCTGTCAGATAAATGTTGTGGAACAGAAATATCAATTAATATCATAAAATTTAAAAACTTAAGTAAAGTACAGATACCTCGTAAGTTTACTACTAAGTGAAAGTACTTAGTAACATTCCACCGCTGTTCTTTTTTCTTTTAACAGAGTTAATTAAAAAAAAGACAAACATTTATCTGAGATGAATGTTCTCCGTCACTGACTTGCGGACTTCTTCTGTTTCCAGGCCTGGAACACGTGATGTTCAACAGCCGAAACTACTCCGAGCGTCTGCATGTGTGGGAGGGCTGGAGGAGAGAGGTGGGGAAGAGAATGAGGCCTCTGTACGAAGATTACGTGGATCTGAAGAATGAAGCTGCCAAACTAAACGGTGATACATTCAAAAGAATAATATGCCACTTGGTGTGGTATTATTGTGAGGATGTGTAATATATTTTTAATGTGTGGATGACAGCGAAGCTACAGATGATCTCAGTCTTGGTGCTTTTGTTTGTCTCGATGAAAACTTAATGCAGCTTTAAAAAATAAAAAAAATACTACACTTCCATATCACCCAGTGAAAATACTTTGAACCCAGACTATGAAGGAACTATACAGATATAAAACTGTAGAATGTGGACGGGTGAAGATAATGTCTGATAGGAAAAATACACAGCTGAAAATGTTGAGTGATCGTACGTGCTGGATCCTCCCAATAACTTCATTGAACACAGTTAACAAACAGCTGATTACCCACCACAGTAGCCTAACATGGGCTTCATCACTGTCATAACTTCAAACCACACAAAAGGAAGACTTTTGTAAACTGAACTGTGTCTGTCTCACACTTTCTTTTTCTCTCTGAAACACACACAGGTTTTGAAGACTACGGTGCTTACTGGAGATATAACTATGAGACCCTTGAGGATGACATTCGGTACAAGTACACCAGAGATGAGCTGATGGATGATGTCCGTTCAGTTTACAAAGAGGTACGTCTAATATCCATCCATGCCAGTGGATTTGGCTCCTTGTTGGACGTTTGTGTGTCAGATTATTGATTTATACATTGGCAGGCTCCTTGTTCTGAGGAAAAAGGTAAAAGAAATTATAAAGGCAGAGTTGGGCATTTACATTACAGACGTTTAGAATATATGTGTTTAATGAGAACTTGCATTTCTCCATCATTGTGTATGGGACTGTCCTGTTATCAAAGGTTTTTGGAAGACAGTGGCACTTTATGTTTCTCATATTAAACTTCCTTTGCTCCTTTGTTATGCTTCCTTTGTATATTTCCTACTGTGTGTTACTTTGAGAGGAAAAACACTGTACATCTTTGTTATCTGAACCCCAAATGTGTGTGTTGGAAAAATCCACTCTTAAAGACTCCAAAAAAATTTCCAAGCTTGCGTGACACCGGTTCAAAACAGGATAAATACAATGGTTAAAAAGGAGAAGAAGAAAAAAACAATAGCTTTTTTTTTTTTTTTCGGTTTTTCACAGATCCTGCCATTGTACAAGGAGCTGCATGCCTATGTGAGGGCCAGACTTATAGAGGTCTACCCAGGACACATTGATTCGAAGGGACCTCTGCCGGCCCACCTGCTGGGTATGTTGAGGATTTTTTTCAAAACTGATCAGTCACATGCATCAAACGGAAATATTAACCCTGCTGATATCACTGACCACAAAACTTGTTTTTGTAGTGAAAATGATTTCTGTTGAGTTTGGGACAGAAATTCTTCACTTTTATTTTCATCCATAGAATACAACTAACTTGAAAGTCTAAAAGAGGGAGTAAGAAAAGCAGAACACAAACAGAACAGGAGATTGGAAAATCCCTTTGCTAAATATAGAAATAAATAGTAATACTTGTTGGGAATAGCCTCACACACATGATCCACTCCTAATTGCACAACAACAATCTGCTGTGTAGCAGTAGAGCACCGTAACTCAGGTGTGCAAAAGTAGTATAACATCATCATAAATTACATTACAAAATGATCTTACAGTGCATCGAAGAGCTGTAGTTATGAAAGATGTGTGTCACATTATAAAAAGTACAGCTTCAGAGCAGAGAGTTTCGAATGATCGTATGTGTATGAAGTATGTCTCCCTCTGTTGTCGAGGTCTCATCACTACCACTTTGTTTATGTCAGACTGAACAGAATGGAAAAATCAGAGTGACAGCTTGTGAAAGCTTGAAGTATGTATTTTAAAGCTGTAAATTGTTCATATTATGTATATATTAAGATGACCTTCAGGGAAATGTTGTTCAATAATTTGGTTGTTTAAAGGTAACGATACAGATAAACACTATTACAAAGGAAAAAAATTAATTCAACAGATAATATAATGTATATGATCTACTGTAGAAGAACCTCTCTATGTCTGCATCTACTAATAATAACCTTTTGTGCTGATTATTCAGGTGACATGTGGGGGAGATTCTGGACCAACCTGTACTCTCTGTCCGTCCCCTACCCTGACAAACCAGATATTGATGTCAGCAAAACTATGGTGGCAAAGGTAGATACAATTAAGTTGATTCTGTTATTCTGTTTGTATATTGAATAATATAAGAGACAAGAAATGCATGCAGTGTTAAAAAAATAAAAATCCTGAGTCTACCAAATGTCACCTCAAACTTCAGGGTTGGACTGAGCGTAGGCTTTTCGAAGAAGCAGAGAAGTTCTTCATGTCTGTGGGCCTGTACAAGATGTTTGACAACTTCTGGAATGACTCCATGCTGGTGAAGCCTGAGGATGGACGCAAGGTTGTCTGTCACCCCACAGCCTGGGACATGGGAAACAGAGAGGACTTTAGGTAGGATCCTTTTTTAAAAAAATAATTTTAATGACTTTATTGAATACACACACATGTACATGAAGTACTGTCTTCAGAACAAAGAATAGAAATGAAAAACAATGAAATGACAATAAATAGAAATAAAACAATAAATTTAAGACATTAAGACATTAAAAACAATATAATCATTTACAGTTTTAATAACCTTCTTAATAATCCAAGATTTAATGAGTACAGTTCACATTCTTTAATATTGGCAATTGACAGCTGTTGAGATGATTCACGTGTTTTTGTGCTGTCCTAAGAGTAATCTGATTGTAGATCAGTACAAAAGAGCCATAAATATGAACTTGCTGGAACAATGCCGTTGATTGATCTCTGAGTCATTCTTTCCTGCTGATAAAGATAAACAGAGTCTTAATGTTGTCAAATATTAATCCATATAGTTGCCCCAGCACTAACTCTTTCGGAGGTTTCAGTGTCTTTAGCAATAAAGTTTGTACAAATGCAAAATCAAACTTTTTCCAGAAGTCAGGTTTTCTGACATCAAAGTCAGTTTGGGTTAAAATTACTGAATAAAACTTATTGTCCATGAAACCATGTTACTTCACCTGTCTCCTTAGAGAAGGACATAATTCATTTTATTGAACCTTCAGTGTCATATCTGACTCATCAGATCAGATGTTATTGCAAAGGCTGTTTTATTGGTACAGTATATCTGATATGGTATCTTGCCACGTCTGTATCACACAATATAACTGCTGACAGCAACACTTCTCCCGTGATGTCTTCAGGATCAAAATGTGCACCAAGGTCAACATGGACGACTTCCTCACGGTGCACCATGAGATGGGTCACAACCAGTACCAGATGGCTTATCGCAACCTGTCCTACCTCCTGAGGGACGGAGCCAACGAGGGTTTCCACGAGGGTGTGGGAGAAATCATGTCACTCTCTGCTGCAACGCCCAAACACCTGAAGAGCCTGGATCTCCTGCCTGCTGACTTCCTCTATGATAACGGTAATGCTGATGGATGTAGATAACACTGACAGTTGTCAAACCAAAACATAGTCATAGAAATAGTTGTATTTTTTTTAAAAATAGTTAATTAATTAGCACCACCCCCATCAGTTTCCACCAGAGCTAAACAACAGAGCTAAAAAGGAAGTAAATGTTGGACTAAAATGCATCAGGTTGTCAGTCTCAACTTTATGTGTATGCTAAAGTTCCTTTTCATCTGCTTGATGTGGAATTAGGTAACTGTTTGCTGTTTGCTGTTTGCTGGCAACTGAGTTCACCAAATTGGCTCAGATAATATGTCAGCCCCCAAGTGGCCAAAACATCGGTTATTGCAGGTTTAACTTTTGAGTTGAACCCAGACTAGTTTTATAGCTTCATATATGACAAAGCTTTGTTGACATATTTAGAAATCAAGAAGTAAACTATATTAATGAACAATTGACCTGGCAGAAACCAATGGAAATCACCAAACTGGAGATACAAGGGTCTGAGATCACTTTTCCAGAATGAGAAGACCCCACTGTAGAGAATCTGAATTTGAAAAAGTAGGTATGACTGATGTGTCTTTGGGTCGCTGCCCTTGAATGGCATGCAGGATAAGATTAACCTCAGCACTGTTAGGGCTACCTGAAAAGACCACATCACACCTGTATTCACCTGTTTACTGCATAACATGACCTGCAGTAAGCTCACTTAAACGTCCCAAAACAGAATAGTATTCCTCCGTAAAAATTCATTCAACATCCTTACTACAAAGCTTAACGCCTAAATGTTGTTTCGGCTTCAGCTTCCTGATCTTTTCCCTCTCTATATCACAAACTCTTTTTGTCTATTTTTTGCCTTTCAGAAACGGAGATCAACTTCCTGCTGAAACAGGCGCTCACCATCGTGGCCACACTGCCATTCACCTACATGCTGGACGAATGGAGGTGGCAGGTGTTTGCAGGGAACATCTCCAAGGACGAATGGATGAAGCGCTGGTGGGAGATGAAGTAAGTAGAGACCTATATGAAGCCTCTGTAAATGATCCAGATAATTCATGTAGTAAATTATAGAAAACATCCGTTGACATCTAATATTACTGTAGTCAAATATGGTCATGACATGAAAAGTGGACATACTGCAGACAAATTTAAAGCCTGCACCAGTGCTGACTCTCTGTTGTCATAACAGGAGGGAGTTAGTAGGCGTGGTGGAGCCAGTGCCAAGAGATGAGACTTACTGTGACCCGCCCGCTCTGTTCCACGTATCCGGAGACTATTCTTTCATCAGGTAACGCTGCCTCTATAAAGCTAAAATTCACGGAAATAAAAACATAACACCTAAGTCCAGCCACGTTGATTCTGGATTGTCTTGAAATCTGTGTTGCTGAGAGTTTTGTTTTCAGTTCTGTCTGTACATTCTCAGAGAAATTAGGAGGAAAGAACAAGTTAACTGTAGTTTTTAGAGCAGAACCATTTCTTAACATTTCTTAAATCCTTAATATTTAAAACAGAGCATTATATACAGTATATATAGTCAGTTTCAGGTCCAAATACACTTATACACTTACACATATTCTGTTATAGAAGCAAATTCTTCATGCTTTATAGTTTTTTTTATCACAGTGGTCAGTTATATGTTTGCTAGTTGTATGCTAGTTGTATGTATGCTAGTTGTTGCACTAGAAAGCTACTTACTGTAATGAAAATTGTCCCAGTTCTGCCATGAAACATCACCCATGTGTGTGCGTTTCTCACTGGTTGTGAATACAGGTACTTCACGAGAACCATCTACCAGTTTCAGTTCCAAAAAGCGCTCTGCAAGGCGTCTGGCCACACAGACGCCTTGTCTACATGTGACATTACAGGTTCTACAGCAGCAGGAACCAAGCTGAGGTACGACCGACTTCCAGTTCCTCTTTGAAGTCTGTTCAGTTGTTTTGGTCATCCATGTGATAAACCTGTACATTTTCTGTTTGAATAGTCCATGTACCTGCATGAAATCAACAGAGATTATAACATCTCATTTCTGTTGTAGCACATTCAATTACACTGTGGTACACAGGTATAAATGCAGCAGTAATTTATCATCATCAACATCATCATTATCAATATTTTCTCCTAGGAATATGTTAGAGCTGGGACGGTCCCAGTCATGGACCAGGGCTTTGGAAACGATATCCGGTGACACTAAGATGGACGCCCGCCCCCTGTTGGACTATTTTCAAAAACTTCATGACTGGCTGAAGGTGGAGAACAAGAAACACAACAGGGTGGTAGGCTGGGAGACAGCAATAGATCCATGTGAGTACAAAAGGTTATTACCACCAAATTCACCATTAATTTTCTTAAAGTAATATCGTGTTTGTTTAATCCATACAAAAACCGAAATGTAAAAACAGCATGTGGTTTTATGGGCCTTTGTGCTAAGCTAACCCTCTTGTGGCTGGAGCTTTATATAACTTGTGGAATTGATCTTCTCATCTAAGTCTTGCTAAAAAATGAGTAAGCACATTCCCCAAAATGTTGAACTCTTCCTTTAAGCTTTTACAGCACAGCACATCTATCTGGGTTGAGTGTATTTATAATATCGTATCATCTTTATATAGTGTTTGAATCCAAACCAAACAGTCAATTGAACACCTTTTGATAGATCTGAAAAGCTGCCCCAGAAGTATATAATCTGTATCAGTGGACATACAACTCTCTCGTCATTACGTAATATCTGTGACTAAAAAACACTTGATGTTACTTCTAGCAACTGTCACTGAAGTTAAAAAAAAATTCCAGAGGACTTTTTTGAGGAAGTGGAAAAAAACACACAAACTTAAGTCATTGGTGTTTTCATGTCAAATATTTACACGCTCAAATCACATTAATTTATAAAAGCAAATAAATGATTTGATTTATTTACAGATTCAGAGTATGCCACTAAAGTGAGAGTCAGTCTGAAGGCTGCCTTGGGCGATAACGCTGTGAGTATTATTCATCACTATTAGAGGTGTTATTACTGTAGAGTTACAGTATCTGATTACACATGAAATGAAAAGAATGTTGCAGCTTTAAAGTGAACTGCAGTGTGTTTGATATCATGGCAAATAGTAATGAACTAAAATGTTTTTCAGTATGCCTGGAATACCAACGAGCTGTATCTGTTCAAGGCCAACATTGCGTACGCTCTGAGGCAGTACTACATGCAAAAGAACGAGAGCCTTCCTTTCACGTCAGTATCAACTGCGTTAACCTAAAACTATGACAATACTTTATTTTTTGTTTTCCTCTGACTTTTTTTTGTTACTCTTTTTGTTATTCTGTTTGCACCTGCAGAGCAGAGAACATCCTCACATATAAAGAGACTCCCAGAATCTCCTTCTACTTTGTGGTCACCAACCCAGCAAATCCCTCAACATATATCCCAAAGACTGATGTGCAGGCTGCCGTCAGGTGAGGCACAAGCTTCGTTCAGCACGCAAATGCATTTTGATTACATACAGTATATTCCAAACACTGCAACACACTTGTTTTGTTTTACCCTGTATATTTCACAGACCCCCTTAGCCACTGTAATAGCCTAGCTTATTATATTTATTTGGAAGGATTTTTAGTCACACACGATCTCCAGTCCACCAATTTCTCAACAGCTATTGAATGAATTGCCCTATTTTGTTAAAACTCATGGTGCCCAGAGATTGAATCCTAATGACTTCAGTGATGCCTTGACTTTGCAAACATTAATTTCCTCCTCAAGATGAATTGTAATAACTCAAGGTCCATTTCTTTCGTTTATGACTAAATACCTGAAAAACTGACATTCTCATGAGCCTCAGCTGTACTTAGAGTTTAGTGCTAACTAGCAAATGTTAGCATGTCACTATGATAAACTGAGATAGTGAACATGGTAAACATTAACAACAGCAGCATGTTAACATTGTCATTGTCTTACTGTATATATATATACACACACACACACACACACACACACACACACACACACACACACACATATATATTTTTCAAACATAAGGATTTGAGTTCAATTTCTTGCTGCTATAGTTGATGACATTTAATAAGTGTGAGCAATAATAAACCCATTTCATTGTTTTCATTATTGATCTCAGGTTATCTCGAGGCCGAATCAACGACGCCTTCCAGTTGGATGACTTGACGCTGGAATTCTTGGGTATCCCAGCAACACTGGCCCCTCCCGTGGAGCAGCCGGTGGAGGTGTGGCTCGTGGTGTTTGGAGTGGTCATGGGAATCGTGGTGCTAATGGGCATCTACCTCGTCGTGTCTGGTGTCAGAGAGCGCAAGATGTGAGTTTGGTCTCGAGACTCGTCACTACCATGTTAGACCAATTACTTGCACGACTGTGAGACATGTTGTGTTCCTCTCTGTATTTTGTAGGAAATCTGCGAAGACAGGCATGGAGAATCCCTACGATGCATCCGTTGAAGCACAAACTAACAAAGCCTTTGAGGACAGTGATGACGAACAAACTGGATTCTAATTCAGCGAAGCACAGAAGAAAGGTGTTCTCGTACAGTAGGCTCATAGTCACTGTCCAAGAATAAGAAAGCGAAAATTCTTGATCTGATAAAGCCTTTCCCTCTTCCACCGGTGCTGCATGGCCTCTCATCAAACATCAACATCTCTTATTGTGTATATGTGTAAAGGTTTTAGTTTGTCTCTCATCGTTATAGTATAGTGAATGCCCCTGTAAAAAAGTGCACTTGGTATACCTCCATGTGAATGCACTTAAAGTGCGCAACTTTGATATACTATATTTGTGGTATAATAAGAAGTACAGCTTAACATATACTTCACTACACTTAAGTTTATTTTACTATTCTAGTTTGAAATACCATTAAGTGCAATTAATCATACTTTTTTGTAGAAATAGAATAATTTTTTTTACCATGTACTTTGTGTATATTTAAATTAACTAATGTCTTTTGAACAGCTATTAATATAAATGGAATGACCTGAAAAAACACATGAAAACATTATACTTGAAATATTAATATTAATATTAAATGTCTGCATTAAGAAAAAGGGTGTATTTAAATATAATTTTTATAACTTAATGAGATCTCAAGATAGCACAGTCAACCATACTTAAAGGTGCTATATGTAAGTTTTTGCTATTGCTACATAGCCAATGTAAACATTAACAGCTGTTTACTTTAAGTGTAGAAGATGCGTTGTGAGTACAGCGTTAAACTTAATAACTTTACTAGAGCTTTACTATAGCCCTTTTAAGTGTTGTCAAGTGTATTTTAAGTTGTACTATTATATCATGAACACACTAAGTGCAAAATTAGTCAAAATAAAAGTTAAAGTACAAAAGTCATAGCATTCTTTTGAGTACAATATATTTTACTCATAACAATATAGGTCCTTTCAGACAGTACATTGTTTTTTCCATTGTTGCTTTCAAATTGTATTTTGTGATTTGCAGAACATTACGTTTGTATAATTCAAAAATATCCAACCTTATTTTTTGCTGTATTCAGTAAAAGGCTATGACAGTCAGCCATTTTTATAATACTATTTCACACTCTTAGTCTTAAATTTCAAATTAAATGTTGTAATGCACATGTGGTAGATAGGTGCATAAGAAAATGAAGTCAGGCAAAACAAAGTATTCGGTTACCACATATAGCCAGTGCATTTTCAAAGAACATGGTAATGACAGTGTGTGTGGATTCAACATGTTCAATTATTGTAACATACACAAAATACACAGTTAACCAATGGAAGCAGTTTTATTTCTTATTTATAATATGTGCATGTACAGTTTGGGTGGTAATACATCAGTAACATATCTGTACATGTTGACATTATATGATCAAAAGCGTTAAGTACAAGCTTAATATAGCGAGTCATTCAGAATTCAATTAATATTTGTGTTAATTGGATTCATGTACATAGTTTATATGACACGTAATGTTTCTCACATCTCATAATAATGTACATTAAAAAGTGTTAAATAAATAAAATTATTATCACATCAACTTTTTTTTACTCATTTTGAATATATAAAGTTACATACACAAAATATTCATGCTTGTAACAAAAGTTTCACTTTAAACAACACAACTGATTACCAAAAAAAGATCTCACATATCTAAGTCTGGACCACAAACACATACGCACAAATGTTTTGAATTAGACATAGTTGTATGATACATATCTACGCACTTCTGCAATAGCAGAATTTGACACAGTGACCTTGGTTTCCTTTACTGGACCAGATATCTCAAACCACAGAGCTCCCCTCATGTTTTTCTTAAGTTTAACATCAACTTCAAGACCCAAACAAAAATTCACAAGAGAATTTTGAACGTTAAACTGACTTGACTAATAACTGTGGATGCACCTGAAGAAAATGACTCTCCATCACTTCTGAATGATAAAGAGGAATGTGTGCTCTTCCTGCTGTCCATCCAGGGTTTGCATCCTCACCACTGAGTCTGTGTTGAGTATTTGGATGAACCATCCGCGGTGCAGCACAGACTCAAACTTTGTGCGATTTGAAGGGACGGTCTTCATGTAGAAGACGAAGGAGAGGGTGCTCTCATCAGTCTTGGAGATCTGCTTCAGCTTCTGCTTTTCACACGTCTACAATGACAAAAGTGTGGATTACTTTGCTTTCTAGTATCAGAATTCTAATAATCAACTTGTTTAACTCACGTTTAAATTGAAAACAAAACAATTTCACTTCAATAGTTTTAATGATATACTGTACTTCTTAATTTCCTGAAATAGTAGTAGGGTTCAATGGTTTCAGGGATGAGTTCCATGAACATTTAACCAAATTTAATGCTGTTTTAAAATTCTCTCCTATTTAGAATTGAGTCATCTTTCTTGCAACCTTATTTAATCTGGGTAAGTTTGTCTGCATGTGTGTATTTACAGTATTCTTCTTTTTTTATTTTATTTTATTTTATTCATATTGCACAAACTCATAAAAGGAGTTATCTCAAGACTGCACTCTTTATAAACACAAGAACAAAATGAATTTAGGTTTATCCTAAATTCATTTTGTTCTTGTAAAGCACTTTGTAATCTCTTGTTTTGATAAGTAGTAGTGGTAGCATTATTGCAATCTAATACAACTACATTACATACTGTAATGAATCCTATATGACAGTTATAATGTTGAAACTCTTTTAGAGAGCTGATTAGTTTTGAATGTTCAGATGCATTGTTCATAACCATGGCTGAGTCTTGGTGGATAGGCTTTATCTGTTTTAAATGTAAGTAATTTTTTTGACATATGGTATTCTTTATTTAGCTTATTGTCAACAAATTCCCAAAATCAAGAATGCATTAGTCTAATTTTCACTTCGAAGTTGTAAATCTTTAAAATCTTTAAAAATGGGCCATTTTCAATTACTCTGTCCCTTCATTTTTAAAAGGGACAAAGTAATTTCCTAAAAGTAGTTTTTAGCAAATGTTACTAGTTGTAACTATACATAGTGCATTTGTTGGGACTATTTTCAGAGGCGGATTAATACACATTTGGTGCGTTATGGTGAGTATTTACAGCAGCAGGACAGTGTATGTAGGACTGACTCTAAATAACCTCTTGAGGTTCAACACAACGGAGCAATTGTACAACAGTGTCATGTTTTCAACATCAGTGGTTCATCTCTCTTTCATCATACTCAACAATTCAACATAATTGTTACCTCCACTTGTAGGAACACCGTCCCTCCTTCCTTGCAGCACCTGAGGAAACAGTTGGAGTCGGTAAAGTTTAGGACCACTGGTATTCCTTTGAAAGACCTCCCCATAATGGTTGACTTGTAGTGGTAGATGGTGATTTTCTCTGGATAGACATGCACACAATATAAATAAACAAACAAACAGACAAATAAATAAATAGAAATGTAAAAAAGGAATTTCTAATCATTGCACATGATAATGAATAGAAGAAGAGAGTATCTGAAATTAAACAAATATGTGATTACTGCCATTTAAATCATTCAGGTGATTATTTCGTGCCATGTTGCTCCGTGCTGCTCTCAATGACTAACCTGGATTTGGGGAAGCATAGATGGTTTTCTGCGAGCAGAGACCTCTGAGGTATTGGTGGGTGGCCACATGTACCACTGAAACATTTTCCCGCTCGATCTTGTCCTTTTTGAAGGTGCTTCCTCTTGCAACTGATCAATAATCAAATAAAATGATTATTTGTTCATGTGATTAATTTTTCTACTTATTTAATTCTTATAATTTTCTATAGCCACTGACAGTGAATGCCTCGTGTCTCCGTCTTGAGGAGAGAAGAAAAGAGAGGAGAAGAGAAGAGAAGAGAAGAGAACTTCCTCACCAAGCGTCACTGTGCTGGATTCTGCCACCATGACGACGTCATTGTAGCTACATCCTATCCCATTACATCCCTGACAGGGACTCCCGGGGTTGCAGGCCCTCCCTTTCACCACAGAGACACTGGTTTTCTTCATGGTGACGATAAGCAGATCCGTCTTCTCTCTGTTCTCCATATTTTCTCCTTCGCAAACGTCCTCCTGCAGACTCCCATCATCCTCGTCTTCATTCTCCTCCTCCCTCCTCATCTCCATGCTGAATCTGAGAGTTGTGGATTCCATGGAGACGGGGTGTAAAGTGTCTGCATCGCTGGACGGCTGCTCATTGTGCTCCTTCATCTTGGCTGCCTTGTGCACCTTCTAAAGAGACCAGAAGGAGAGGGTCGAGAGAAACGGACGTCGGGTCAGACTGAGCATTGACAGTGTCTTTTTCTGTCTGACACTTTATGTGTTAAATTCCACCTTAAACCACAGAAGTACATTCAGAAACAGTGAAACGATTTGACTTTTTGGAGGAAAGAGGTAACTGGTGTTCTAAATACTGAGTGAGAAAGGTACAGGGAAATGAAATTTAAGTTTGAAAAAACTGATCATAATAACCTTGCTGTTACTGTTTGATTAAAGAGTAATAAGGAGATAACAGCCTCAGAACAGTCTTCTTCTTACTCTGTAATGTAAAATACAAATTGTAGTTTCACTCGTTAACAAACATTACTGCGGTGCCACCACACTCCTGGGTTTTTTTTTTGTCATGCTTATATATTTGAGTTTTTTTTTTATTGCTTATTCAACAATACGTCTTCTCAGATTAAAAGACTGAAATACAATAGAGAAAAGAATAGAGTCAAGACAGTGGAAGCCCATTAACTCACCAGCATTGGATTACCGTCAGCTAGCATCTGTGCTAACTCCTCTGGTGTGAGAAGCTGCAGGTCTACGCCGTTTATCTGCATCAGTTTGTCTCCTCTCCTGCAATGTTTGGGGTTTTGGAATGATAAATGACAAAATATTAAAATAGTTGCCAATAAATTTTTTGTTGATCAAAAAATCTATTAATCAACTAATAATTTCAGGGCGAATTAACATCATTAAAATCATTATATACTATTTATAAACACTATTATAACGTATGCCTTATTAGAAAGTGGTATGTTCTGCTGGGACTGACTGAGCTTTGAATTATGAATCAAAAGATTTTTATTGACTCACCCTCTCTTCTGCAAGGGTTTATGTTTCTTTTTAATGTTCTCTCTGATCTTGTTTTTGTTTATGTGCCATAACTGACAGCAATGAGATGATTATTTTACTGTTTTTATAAAAAAATACTTTTAGAGATCCCATATCTTTTGTTTTTGTATGTCCTTTCTATGAGAGGGGTTAAAACTATCATTGTCAGTGTCATTTTTTAAAAGCTTTTTATGTTGTTCTTATAGAATCCTGTGTCTTTTTGTGATTTTTATTTGTTAATTGATTTTTTTTTTAGTTATTTTTTGGCAGGCTTCATGCTATGAATAAAATGATTCCTATTCTTGATTTTTATTTTAGTATAACACAAGAAAATTAGTTATCCAATCTCAGAGACTCGATACGTTTTCCACAAGCATTGAAAAAAATGTATTATTCACTGAGAAAACTTGGGTTTGCAATGAAAACAAAAAGTCGGATAAACAGTGTCTGAGTCATACCTGACAAACATTTTTTCTCCAGTTGCATTTTTGTACTTCACCACATTTCCAACTTCATACTGGTGCTTTCCGTCTTGGATCTGGTGGAAAATGACCACGCCTCCCTTAACTGAATCCTTACATTTAGGAATAAAGAAACACATTTTTCTTTGAACAAGCAGCATTAGTCAATATACACAATCATATCTTTTAACATGTTTCTGAAATTTAGCAGTGTTCAGTGTTATAGACAGTTAGATTTTTTTTACCCACCCCCAGATCCATGGTGCTGGAAGTGTCCACTCCTGATAATGCCAAAGACTGAAGACAATACCAGTGGTACTGGCTGTTTTAAAGCCTTCAGTGTGTTTGTGCTTCTGCTTTAGAAAGGGAAGTAGGACTGAAGGGCCACTGACACGGTCGTGGATGGGGAACTGATGTCAGAAGAGGAAGTAAATGAAGATTAGTAAATCTTCAATAAAAAGGGGACACAGTGTGTGATTTTGTTAGAAAACAGAACTTGTAACAAATATGGAGGAACAAGAGATGTGTGAATTCAATAATATAAGCAACTTATTTTATGGCAATTTTACTACAATAACTAACAGCAGCAGAGGCCTGACTTTTTCTTTCTTTACGGGATGTTCACTTCCTTTTTTTCACTTGTATACCAATAACAAGACAGAGCACTTTTACTGTCAAACATTAGCATGAAGACACAAAATTTGATTTTGATTTTATAGTCTGTCACAGTAGACATGGGAACAACTGAAAGAAAACTACTTCCTCAGTGACAGTGGACAGTAAACATCATAAATTTATTCTATGTGTGATTCTACAATCAACCATCCACCTAGAAACTGAAGCGATAATTGTCCGTTCTTCACAAACTGTAATGGTCAGTTTATTTATTGCATTTTCACTTTGTGCCAGTGTGAAATCATTAATGGTATTTTATTAAAGAGGTTTTATTTTATCAGATTATCGTGATCTGCTTTTTATAAATGATCTTGTCCCATGTTTAAAAACATTGTATTGAACGTGACTGTGCTGTACTTCTCATTTACTGTAGTTGTGTGGCAATCACTCTATGATACGCAGAGGTTCACTCTTATGTGACTGTAATCTCTCCCTGTGCTTGTTCTTCCATATCTGTGTACACATATGTATAAAAGTAAATTAGGAAGAATTAGGATGGACAACACAGATTTCGAGCTTGAAGGCACACACTTGACTTTGGAAATAGTAAGTAGACTGTGTGGTGAGAATTTTTTGTTGGGAAATTTTAATGATTTTCTCCTCCTTTTTTTAACGTTTAAAATTGTCCATTGTTGACATCCACATTCATTTGTATCAGTCTCCGTCTTCATCTTGTTGGCAATCAGCCAAATAACTAAACATTGCTCCATTCTCCACAGCGTACCTGTTGTCATGCTGCCTCTGCCCCTTGGAAACAACAATTAGCAGGACTTGAGACTGACACAGCCAGGTGAGCGACTGGTTAGCTTAGCTTAGCATAAAGACTGTACATAGGGGGAAACAGCTAGTCTGGCTTTGTCCAGCAGTAACAAAATCTACCTACAGAACATCTAAAGCTTGCTGATTAAGATGTTACATCTTGTTTGTTTAATGTGTACAAAAAACAACAATTGGTTGTTTTATGGGTGGTTATGTGCCCGACTCTTTCTGGGCCAAGCACAGCCTCTTCCAGCTGTTGGTGGTAGCTTTATATTTACACTACACACGCAAGAGTGATATCAATCCTTTTATCTAACTCTATTTAAAGTTATCTATATTGTTTTTATAGTTATAACAGCATTTTTTAAATAATAAAAACTCCATGAGACTTTTATTCGGTTAAATAAAGGAAAAGAAAAGAAAGAAAATGTTATGTGTGCACGACTGCAAACGTAGTCCAGTGCTAGTGCAACACCTTCACTGTTTTGATACTGAGATGAGCCGTGTTACTAAATTTATACAAGCACACACTGAAGCTATTTCCAGCTTTCCCAGTCGGGCCAGTGAAGTCCAGCTAAATCTGTAGACGCTGAGGTGGATTGAGTTACATGACAGGCACGCACCACTGTTGCAAAATTTCAGGTTTCCCACCGTACACTGCAGTATGCCACAGTTGAGATACGGACCACGTTTCCACCGTCTCAGAAGCTGGCAGAAGTTGACAATCCAAATTCAACCAGGTACTGTAGCATACTGATCCTTCACATACATGAGATTCTGCACGACACGTGTATCTGAGGAAGGTCATCAGTGTAGCAGCTGAAGGTGTTGTAATGCTTTACTAACTTGAATATTGATGTGAGTGCTGTGACTAATGTAAAAACTATTCAAACTATCAGATGAAGTTCTCCAGAGTTATAGAAACAGCTCATACAAAGTTCATTCGACTCTTATGGTGCTTTCACACCTAAATTTCATCTGCTCTGGTCCGATTCAGTTGATTCCGATTCAGGAGTTTGTTAACTTGTAGCATTTTCCCCTTGGTTTGGTTTGTTTTCATACAGAGAAAAATGAACCAAAATACGTCATTACAAACCACGTGAGAACGTTCACTCCGTTTATTGGTCAGATTGTCTGGCGGGAGCAGGAAAGTCCTGTGTGGGCTCAAACTTTTGAGTTCACCTGCTAGTAGGGTCGGATCGAGCACAGACCTCTTTCACACCAAAAAAGAACCGCTCCAGAGTTCGTTTGGGACCGAGACCACCTCCTCGAAAGGGCCTCGGTGCGAGTGTTGTGGGTCGCAACCGAGTGCAATTCGTTTTTTTTTAATACCTGCACAAACGAATTGTACCAAGGTTGAAAACGAACCAGGATTCAGTTTGAACGGAATAAAATTTGTTTGCATCTGAGATTGAATTTGAAATGAAATCTGTACTAAGCCCTCGTAAAACACCATAAATCCTCATAAAATCATTTCAAATCACCCATCAGTCAGGGTAACATATTAGAGTTTAAGGGACAAACTCAAGCTTTGTTTTTAACTGTATGAGGTCTACCACTGTCCCGTATTGTCTCTCTGTGTGTTTTTGTCATTGTGTATGTTTCAGATGGTGATACTGGATGTGTTAATAATAGGGGGTGGCCCTCATGCGTTGACCCTGGCGAGCTTGCTAACCAATCCTGACCCTGACCCAAACTCAGACCCCAGACATGACCCACCCTTCTCCCCCTCCTGCTCGGACCCCCTGAGGACTCAGACAAACCCAGGAACGTCCAATAACAGATGCTACAGTGACAAGAAGAAGAAGAGGAGGGCAACAACTGGTACAATATATTTGACTTTACTTACCAAATCATAATTATGAGATACAATATATCTGAAGTCATAATTTTAACAATAACAATTGCAAATAAAGCTGAAAAAATGTGTTGATTAATCAATAATCCATTACTATCACTGATAAAAACAATCGATCATTTAAAAATATTTTGAAGCAAAAAGTCCAGACTTGCCCTAGACCCAGGCCTCTGGGAAAATGTGATGAACATTTTTATTTTGTGACATGATCTTTACTCGCCCCATATACTAATTAGCAATTTAGATAATTTTCTATAATATTATCTCATAATCTTGACTCAGTCTTGACCCAGTATTTTAAAAGTGTTTTGTCATTCCAAAGATTTTGACAGACGTGGTGCATTTAGTTTCATTCGTTCCATTTGAAACACTGAACAAATCTGAGATGTGGGTGATTGAGGAGTCTGGAGCCAGGTTACTTCAGTTTACTGATGAACGCTCCTTTTTCAATGTTACTACTCAATGTGAAGTACCATAGTAACTAAGACTTTTGCTTCCTATCTGCCCTTATAATTCAGTCCATATGTCGTTTGTCATCAGTCTATGCAGGAATGACACTGGAGGAGCAGTCAGCGAAGTCAACAATATCAGAGAAGGTTGCTTGCCCCCCGCTGAGTCTCCGAGTGGTGGATTCCTATGGAGAGTGGACCACTCTGTGGGAGAGCCAGTTCACAGCTCTGAACATCCCTCATCTGCGCTCACACACACTAGTGCACACTGACCCTCTCAATAAGGTATAAACACAAACAACTTCCGCGGAAGTAGAAACGAGGAAGGTGCTTCTACAATATGAATAAAGATAATTGTGTGTGCGTGTGTGTGTCTGTGTGTGTGTGTTTGTCTTGACAGAAAGCTCTGCAGGACTTTGTTTTAAAGTGTGACCGATCAGCGGAGCTTCACTGTCTTCCAGACCAGGTTTATATTCTGGACGAAAATGCATTTTTCAATGACATGCGACTTGGCAAGAAGGAGAAGAAACGACTGAACATCACCTCGACGCTTAAGAAGAGTTTATCCTTCAGTCTGCCGGGAACCAAACTAAGTGTGGACTTCTTTAAAGATCAGGTGGGACATACAGTATATTGTGTGTCTGTGTCTGTGTGTGTGTGTGTGTGTGTGTGTGTGTGTGTGTGTGTGTGTGTATTCTGCATGGTACATGTCGCTGTACATTTAAAGACAATGAATAACTTGTTTGCATGCATTTTCATGTTATTTAACGTCTTTGAAGCATGTACGAGAATTATTTTAGTTACAATGACTTTAAATTAATTCTGAATGCATACATTCTTATCATTATCATTATAATTGATATAATTAATGGATAAATCGTCAGGCTGCTTTCAGTGTGGGTGTCCTCTCTCTGTTGTGGTCTGCATTTTGGATCAGGTCTAATTATCCTAATTATATGGAATAATGCCAACATTATCCTTTAAGCAGCATGAGAACCACAACCTGAGCATTGCTATTTCCTGAGTTGTTTGAGTTGATGAATCTGAATATACAGGTGGAGAGACACAACTTGGGCAAAGTGCTGGTAAAGGGAACAGTGGAGCACATCGTCCCTGTTATTGATTACAAGGAAGAGACGGAAGAAGAGAGTGACTGCATGAAGGAGGCCATGAGGGTGACTGAAAGGAAGGGCGATGGGGCAAGGAAGAGAGTGAAGTATTTTCAAGTCCAACTTCAAGAAGGCAGCATCCTAAAAGCTCACCGGGTTGTTATGGCAACAGGACCAACCCGTGCTCAGATGGCAAACATCCCTTCATGGGTGAAAAGCATTGGAGAGAGCTACCCAGAGGAGCGACTGCAGCACACAGTGCACCTCATGCACCATCTGACAAATTCTAAGCAAGAACTTAGAGAAACAGATTGTCAGACACAGAAAGAGGCTTTTCCCACTCAAGGTAAGTCAGATTCCTTCTGAGGGTTATGTAACATCACAATCATACAGAAAAGCAAATGGGTAATTGGTACTGCGAAGAAAAAACATTACAAACCTTGATGCTTTGGCACATTTGCCAGAACTGTCAGAATATTGTATAATACTTTGCTTTCACCTGAGGTTTCTGTGCTTTTGAAGACGTCCGTGGCTGTTTGATTCCCCCATCCTCACTGCAGCACTTTCCTTTACAAGTACCTTATGCCTATGTGTGTCTAGAACTGTGTGTAGTGTGTGAGACAGGGCAGAGGGTAATGGTAGTTGGTGGAGGTCTGACCAGCGCTCATGTCGTCTCAATTGCCCTGCAGCAAGGTGCCAGCCATGTGACATGGGTCATGAGGAAGCACCTCCAGGTCTAGTGACAGTGTGGAACTGCATGTGGACCAAGCATAAAGACTTACTGTAGTTATACCTGCCTGCCTCCATCATGCATATCAGTCTTCACTGTTTCTTCTACAGTTGAAACAGTTTGATGTGGGCGACGTGGAGAGTCTGGTGGGTCGTTACTCCCATGTGGAGCACGGTATCAAGATGGATGGCCAAGCGTATCTACGGCAGTTCTATAATGAACGGAGTCTTCACAAACGGCTGGCTATGATTCGCCAGGCAAGGAAAGGTGGGGCTGTCACCCCAGAGGCCTACATCCACCTACAGCCATTCATTCTGAATGGACAGGTGGATGTGAAGACATACTGTCAGGTAATGGTGCATGTGCATCTCATGGGGTATAAAATAAGGGTTTAGTGAATGAGATGAGACGAGACAAGACGAGATAAAATAAGATGAGATTGTATGAGGTAAAGTGATGTGAGGTGACATGAGATAAAATGACATGAAGTCATGTAAGATGAGATGAAAGGAGAGGAGGTAATGAGAGGTCATTAAAGATGAGACAGTTGACATGAGAAGAGATAGGAGGAAATCAGATGAGATGAGGAGGCGAGATTAGGTCAAATGATCTGAAATAAAATTGATATTAGGTTAGAAGAGATGATGTGCGGTACAGATACAATAAGGTGAAGTCAGGTGAGATGAAAGTATATCCGGTGAGGTCAGTTCAAGTCAGATGAGATAATACGATATGAAGTGAGATGAGGGGTTAGGTGATGTGAGGTGAGGTGAGATGAGATTAGGTGAAATGCAATAAAGTGGGATTACTTAAAATGAAATGAGATGAGATCAGGTGACATGACAGGTAGGTTAGGTGAGATAACAAGAAGTCGGGTGAGGTCACATAATGTAATGTGAGGTGAGTTGAACCAGATGTCATCCAACTGTCCAGGTGAGTGAAGCCAGTTGGTGCTACAGGAACCAGGCCTGGAGTCTTTCCCTCAGCACTGGGGAGCACTGGACTGGAGATATGATCTGGCTCGCCACCGGCTGCAAACTTGATGCGAAGCAGGACCCGTTGCTTTCTGAGGTGATAAAGGAATTCCCAATTCAGGTGGGTTGAACAAAGAAATGTATTTTACAAATGTATAGTGTTGATGTGCTCTACTTTCATGTTGTAAGAATAGTAGATTCATAAAATGTTCCCGGCTTCTCCCTGGTGAAGGTGATAGATGGTTGGCCGTGTATATCAGAAAGCCTACAGTGGGCCGAAGGGTGTCCGCTCTATCTGATGGGGCAGTACACCGCTCTTCAGGTTGGTCTACTTTATAGTGTTTTGGTGTGAAAAAATAGGTCTCAACAACAATCTGTGCAACCATTTTACAGAGTATGTATCCCCCCAACCCTCCACCCCCGACCCGAACACACACACACACACACACACACACACAGGTTGGACCTCATGCAGTAAACCTGGCTGGTGGACAGGCTGCCAGCATGCGAATTGCCAAGGACATCATGCGCCACCGGCAACAGGACAGTGGAGGTGCTTCTGACCTGAGTGGGGAGAAATTTAAAACTGAAGAATATATTCAACAGATGCAAGGCCTTTTATGGCTTTAACTTGAGGAACTCAAAATCACGTGTGTGAGCAGTCTTCCTAAATATAATTATGTAAGATGGGACTATATGAGCTTGATTAAATGCTGTGAAACAACAATTCTGTGTCAAATAAACACATGTTCGTCCTTGAGGGCCCAATCAATATTTTTTTTACACATTAATTACAGGTATAGTCACAAAAATATAGTGACATGGATGGAAAATCTGCATGTTGTGTGCTCCTGTGATCAGTGTTTAATATGGCAGATGTAAGCAAATATTTAGTAGCATTAAAAATGTCTACAGAGTGTTTCTCTCTTTTTAAATCGAGGGTCTAAGGATAAAGGGTTCTGGATGTTATTCATATTGTAAAACCCTCTCAGATAAATCTGTAATTCTGGGCTGTAAACTTGACCTGACTGAGAGCGATACCTTCACTCCAGTGCTTGGGTAGTGGGATAGCTCGTTTTGTCACATTTGGATCATCGATCGTGTGTTTAAAATAAGTCTAATTTGGCTTTCGATTCACACTGTGGTCTACAGACAGTGATTCACACTGTGGGAGTATCTTCTTAAGACACGCCCCCTGCCTGACTTCCGCATAGTAATCACACCTGAGGAGGCGCAGTCACCACAGGACACAGGTGGGCTTTGAAGTGACACCGCAAAAAACAGTAAAAACTATCAAAACAGCGTCAGGACATGTTGTCTTTTGCTTCCAGGTGGGTGGGCGTTTGGCTGTAATCGAGAAATTCAACACTTAAGTTAGTCTCTGAGGTGTTTTTCGATGCATTTTACCGCTGGCAGTAGCTAATGTTTGAACATCCTGATAAAAGTGCTGTTCGCGTCAGGTGATTCGTAACTCTACCCTCAGGTAAAGAGTACATGACACGCCACGCTTCACAAATAAATAAATAAACATAAAATAAATGTGATTAAGTAGTCGTGCAGTTAATAAATAGGCACCGTGCAGCAGTGTCTAAGAAACACCTCGGTCAGAAACTTCCTGCTCTTATAATTCTGCAGAGGGTCCGTTTTTTCCAGCAGGTAAAATGATGAGCAGATGCTGCGATAACATTTAATGGGAAGTGACTGTAATGAATGCAGTGAAAGTTATGAGAAGCCAATCCGTCAATAGCAGCAGCAGCAGCGCTGAGATCAGCTGATGAGCAGCTGACCCGCTCAGCTGACTGATCAGCTGATCCACTCAGCAGGAGCTCGCTGATGTCAGATCAGTTGGTTTGTTTCAGTCACTGCATCATCCAGGCCGCTGAGACCCTCCTGTTCACCGAGAAGAGTATTTTGAAACTGCGGAAACCCAGCGATTGCGTGACCTTTCCGGTTATTTTGTCATATCTTTGCAGCATTTTATTTTGGTAAATTCATCTGACAGGTCTCTCCTCCTCAATCCAGTTATGGTCCTTTTTGACTTACAAGAAAGGCTACTTTGACAATAACACTTTGAATTGCAATAAAGATGATAAGATTTTGCTTTCAGACCTTTAATGTGAAGAATATATTCTTCTGTACCCTTAGAAATTAATTTGGGATGTTTCTACAACACCCTTATTAGATAATAAAGAGAAAAACGTTTTATGTCACTGGACACTGGAATATTAGAAGCTATAATTGTATGTTTTATCTATCAGGGTGTTTGTGAAAAAGAAATATATTTTCTTTTTAGAAATTAGCCATTTTATTGGCTCCATACATGGTTTTTATGTCCATTTTGATGAACATTACTGTGTATTTGATGTTTTGTAGTGACTGCTGAAATGTTTCCCAGCACAATGAACGTGAGAAAAGTGGAAAGGACAGTTCTGAGTGTGGAACAGGCAGAGGGAGTCGGTGCTCGTGTCCGCAGGAGCATTGGCAGAAAGGAGGTAAGTTATGCAGCATGTTAATGTAGCTCAACTGTAAAACACAGCTCGCTAACAGTCATTTGCAATTCGTTTAATACTGTACATTTTATTTCCAGCTGAGGAACCTGGATCCCTTCCTGATGTTGGATGAGTTTAGAGTGAGCAAGCCGTCAGGTTTTCCAGACCATCCTCACAGAGGATTTGAGACTGTAAGTGTATTTGACTATAATTTTAGGCTTTCTGAACTATTTAGAGTTCCTTACTCTCTCAAAACAATATAATAGTATTGAAATGTTACAGCTGCTTTAACCAAACAACAAAAAAAAAGGAGCATAACAACCAACAGGTATTACTGAGGGGGTGATTCCTATTTTTATCACCAGATGGCGACAACAGGACAGTGACCGCAAAGCAAGTTAACACTTTGCTTTCCATGAATGATGTTTGAGGTTTGTAGAGTTCAAAGATCATACAGAAAGCCAGCGATATCGGAGGTGTGATATAAGCTTGTACTGTATTGTTTGTATAAACTCATATTCAGCCCAGAAAGGTTTGATTTTAAAAAAAAATTTCATGACAACTCACAAAAAAATTCCCTATTTTGAAAGAGGGGAATTGCCCTTGCTTCTGATGTTTTTGTGGAACCATCCTTGGATTTTTTTTTTAGTTTTCTGTGCATTTGAAACTAATGTACTTTGTCTCCACACTTTTCTTCTTGTCGAATGTGATCACGTTACTGTACATACACATACTGTATTAAAATTGAAGCCTTTCTTCCCATAAACCAAGACAAACTCCTGTCAGATGATGAAGCTCTACTTTTGAATACTTTATAACAATGAAGTCTGCCTCAGTGTTTAATTACATATGTAAAACCTACTCAGTTAGTACAGTCCAGCTTCCTCTCTGTCTTTATTTCCCACTACGGTTGTCATGATATCAGATTTTCACTACACGATTATCATGGCCAAAATAAAGAACAATAACGATATCATTGCAATATCTATAGAAATTCATCTTTAACTTTATTTATTGTGTGTTTTGAGTATTTTGTGGCAAATGAATTATAACATAAGTGCAGGGAGGTAGAAAGAGACAAAAGCATACAAAAACAACAATTACACTGAGTGCATAGTGAAAAGGTAACCAGATGAACCGATAAAGAAAAGATCAACAAAGCCTACAATCAGCCATCATCATATTATCATATGTAGTATTAACACAATTTCAATATTTAATTTTCAAATATCACGGTTATCCTCAGTAGCGGTATATTGCAACACCCCTATTCCTCATCTTTCCTTCCTGTCATTTTGTCATTGAGTTGTCTTCAATTCATGTCTGACTCTGTAGTATTAGTATTGGACATGAGTAATTGATGTATTTACTTGACAAAGTGAACTGAGAGCTTCCAGACCCATTCACATGAATGGGTCTGTCAACACCAGGCTATTGACAAACCCACTGTATGCTGCCTCCTAGCACCAAACAGCAGACAAAGATAACAAATAGCCAGCGAGTATTAGCATTAGCAGCTATTTCCTTCTTGGTAGAGAACAAGAACAGACCTGAAAGGGGAGGGAATATTGGACTCAAATTTGTTAGATGGACAGAAACACAGCTCCTGATGAATGATAAAGTTGCTTCTTGTTTGCTCAGTGTGTTAATACATTTACATTTCCTCATTTGGCAGACGCTTTTATCCAAAGGGTGAGGGACATCATTAAAGCTTCAGTGCAGCAGGAGACCTGGGTGTAAGTACTAAGTACTACATCTATTTAATAAGTGCAAGGAAGTCAGTTCAAGTTCATAATAAGTGCTAGTCAGGCATGTTAGGGTGTTAAGAGGTGTTAGGAAAGGCGGTGCACTCAGAAGAGATGGGTGTTGAAGAGATTCTTGAAGATAGAGAGGGGTGCCCCTGCTCTGATAGCATCTGTTAGCTGTGTTCCTCCATCGGGGAACCACAGAGGAGAACAGTCTGGATGTCTAATGCAATAGCTGTAACGACTTTATAAGGTCAGTCATACGTCAGTGTTCTTTTTATAGCTTGCTCCCCTGCGCTGACGTGGCCAAGTCAGTTAATGCTGCTGTTAGTAATGGCAAATGAGCACCGTTTGGAAATTGAATAGTTACAGAATAGTTGTGTCCCTCATTTATCCAATAAGTATCATTTTATTGTAGCTTTAGAAATGGACAGCCTTTTTGGTTTTGCCTGGGCTTTACTGGTTTCTGCTGTGTGTCTGAATGAAGTGGAACAATGTGTGGTCAAATGCCTTTTCATTTCAGGCCCAAAGGAATGGAAAATATAATAATGTTCTCTTATTCTGGCTCCCACTCTGTGAGCCACTTTGTTGGAAATTTGTTTTTGAAAAAGGCATCATGAATAAATGTGTCCCCTCTAAATTTGAGCCTAATTCACAATCCCATTCGCCACAAGCCTGTTCAGTGTTTTTTAAATTGTAGTTAAATGTCACCAGGTATTCCAAAGTTATTCTTAAATTTGCCTGTATTCACTGATGAATGGAGGTAACATGGCAGATATTGTCCTTAGATTGCCAGACGCTCCTCGTAGTGTATTTGATTTGGTAGATGCAACTTAAATCTCCCAATGTGGGTGGACAGGACTAGGCCTACACTCCCAGCATGCCTTTCAGCAGGTGTGTTTGCTCACACTCACATGACTTTTGAAATCACACAGCTGTGGAGACAGATCACAGGCAGCTCACTGCAGGGGCCTGAGCTTTCCTCCCTTACAGATGTTCGCCTTTGAACCCATGACTCCAGACGCAGCACCTCTCTTCCTGTCCAGTCTAACCACTTGGGGTAGTGAGACGAGCGCACACATGCTTTTAGTGTTGACGCAGCACTTGTTTGTAAGCTCATAGCTTACAACCTGGAACATGGTATTTCACTTAATTAAAATTACTTTCATTCATTTCTAATAGAGGTGGAAAAATAATAAAAATGGATAAAATGAAATTGAAAAACCATTGCACCACTTCTTTATATTTGTTTTGAAATATAACATATAACTTCATCGGTGTGTGTGTGTGTGTGTGATGTTGTTTTTGGATGTGTCTTGTGTGTTGTGGTTGTTGTGTGTGTGTTTGTTTGTTATCAAACAGGTAACATATGTCTTGGAGGGGATCACAGCCCATGAAGACTTCTGTGGCCATTCAGGACGACTGAAACCTGGAGATCTGCAAGTACTGTTCATTTTATTTATTTTTTAAAGAAATAGTTTGACATTTTGGAAATGATACTAATATGCTTTTCTTCCAGGAGTTAAATGAAAATATTGATACCACTCTCATGATTGTACAGTAAATATGAATCTACAGATTAGCATGATGACTGGAAACAGGGGGAAGCCTGACTTTGTCCAAGGCTAACAAACTGTAGTTTGATATTTGACTCAGAGACATAAATCTCCTCATGTAAATCTCAGCATATTTCCCAATATGTCAAACTATTCCATTAACTTTGCCATTAATAAAATTGCAAAATAAAGTGGACATATGTTCTTTTTTATTCAGATATTATCTAACAGAGGGATCATTGTTATCTATGAGTCTAAGTCATTCACTTGAATAAGAAACATTCAGTTTACAAGCTGCAAGAGCAGAAGAAGACTTAAGCCTTTTGGTGCACAAATCCCCACAAACTCATTACATATGCATTATAATGTTGTGCACTCACACTAATTGGATATCATGCCCTGTGGGTTGTTTCCTGTGTTTTTAAAGTAGTAAAGTCACATTGACACACACACACACACACGCTCACAACACACACACACACACACTCACACATACACACACTCTCACACTCACACACTCTCACACTCACACATACACGGCCTGCTGACTCAGCTTCAATCTGTAGCAGAGGCTCAGTCAGTTCAGCTGAATTTGCTCTAACCCACCATGTGCACCCTCTGTAGCCTCGGACGTCAAATGGGAGCTGCAAACGCTCAAACAGACGCCTGCCCGTCCTTTAGGGAAAGCTCAAACACTGTCTCAGATTAAAGCAGGGTTTCATTAAAGGAAGTGGTGAAGACAACGTGCCAACAGACAAAACTGTCTCAGTTAATGAATGAATGAATGAACTGCACAGCTGTGTATATCCATTTGTGGGAAAATCTGTATTTTAAAATCACACTATTTTCTGTGCAGACACATAACTGAAAGGAACAATTTTAGCTCGAGTTGTAACTTAAATAGTTACTGAATTACAGTCTTCATATTTTCATACATAGTCCATCTTTATCAGGACTGCATCTACCCAAGCTAGCAGCTTATTTCCAAGTTAGACTGCATATTTATTATATAATATTAGATATTTTAGATTTTATCTGATCCACTGATTCATTTCATTTCAAGCCCTGCACAGTTCTGTGCTGCCTTCCTTCTCTGTTGCATGTTTTATTATCCAGTAGATCCTCCTCACAGTAAATACCCAGCACGCAGCAATAAAAGAAACCCAACGGCATGATGAACAGTCACAGATGAATTATCAGTGGCTAGCTGCATTAAAGCAAAGCTCGAGAGTGGAAATTTCCAGCTGGCCTAAAGCAGAAGCAGAAGCTGTTAAACTAAACTTCCTTTCATCCAGTGTTTCGACTCACTACCTGAAACACATGCTTTTTTTTTTTTTTTTTTTTTTTTAACTCCACTCCTTAAACAGCTTTTTATGCTAAATATTTCTTCTTTCTAATTTATTTGTTTGGCTTTTTGTGTTAGAATTTATTATTCAATTATATTTAGAAACCTGTCGGAAGAATGTATCTGTATTTTACTGAAACTCACTTTTGTCCCGCTTCAGTTTGACGTCCAAAATGGTGTTTTTGCATAGCAGCCCCACGAATCTCATTTTCTGCATGACACTGCTCAACATTATTCATTTATAATAACGGGATTAAGTTTGTGTACTGTGTTTATCTAATGTTTCATGCCAGTTGTTTCCATTTATTTCACTATCAGAGTTTCTGGAATTTTTTTCTTTTCTTTTTTTTTTGCAATTTCCTCAGCTACATGTTCTTGTGCAATAAATTTATCTATTTTTTTTTTTAATCCAAAAAAGACAACGCCTGTGTGACAGGTGCTTGCATTGAAAGTAGTGCTTTCCACCAGCCAACTGCAGTTATATTTAAATATTATTCATTCATTATATATTTATTTTTTCACGCTTCAGCATACACTTCCAGCACATAAGATATAAGCTACAATCTGTGACAACATTGGTCTGCCCATGCTTTTACAACCACAGACCACAATCAAGGCACAAACAGTGACTTTATAATGCACCACTATGACAGCAGCAGGTGTTTCACTGACAAAGACTGTGGGGTTGTACTCGTGCCTCTGACATACACTAATTAGTACCGCACACAAAGTGAAACTGAGGCTGGGTTAGTTTGATCACCAGAGTTATCAGAATTCATCCTGAGGGGGACAAAACTACAGAACTGTCTCCACCAGATTTCACTACGGTATATCCACTTGTTGTTGGGACATTTCAACTTGTGTCAAAATGGTAAGACAAGATGAAAGGTTATAAGGTAGTTAGGATACATTATTTAGCAACTGTGAATGTTGGGATCAAATTTTGTGCCAATCTACCTTGTCGATGTCGAGATACTGCAATTCACCGGAGAAGCATGAATTTTGTCTTGCGGGTGGCACTAGATGAAAAATCAGGGGATCGCCAGAATTACAGCAACACATCTCTTGAGGAACATTTCTGTCTTTACAAAATTTCATCACAATTCCTCCAACTTTTTTTGAATTATTTCTCCCTGGACCCAAGTGATGGAGCAGCCAACTGATTGGTCATGCTATTCCTAGTGCTACGCCGAATGCATGGCTCATAAAAATCTTCCCACTTCTAATACAACTTTTTAAAAAAAAGGGACAAGTACAATGTTATTAGAAACTATATTTCAAATATGTCTCCTTGTCCACCAGTGGATGACGGCAGGACGGGGGGTGGTCCATGCCGAAATGCCCGTATCGGAGGAGCCGGTGGTGGGCTTACAGCTGTGGGTGAACCTGCCGAGGAAAGACAAGATGGTGGAGCCAGCGTACCAGGAGCTGAAAGGCTCAGAGATCCCCAAACCCAGCCAGGGAGGAGTTAGAGTCGCTGTGATATCTGGAGAAGCTTTAGGTGCAAAGGTGTGTGTCTGCTTCTTTGTGTGTTTGTGTGTGTGTGAATGCATCTCCACAATTTGCCTATGGTGATATCATCACAACATCATTAAGTCAAGCCACAGTCAGAAGGGCACTTTGAAGCTGATCATGATGTTTACTTTCCTGGTAGCTGCTGATCTCATGGTGATTGCTCATTTGCTGGACGCTCGAGGCAAACAGGAACAAATGACAAACAATGAAATAAATGTGCATGCATTCATATATGTGTGTGTGTGTGTGTGTGTGTGTCTGTGTGGTGTTTGAGGGAGTGTCTGTTAAACAGACAATTTGACCAGTGTGAGTGTCTGTCTGAAAAGAGGAAACAGCAAATGAGAAGCAGATTGTCCCAGTGAGTTTTCCAGCGTGTCTTTGTGTGTGTTTGTATATATTTATAAGTTTATGTGGAAACTGTTTGAGGAAGTGAGAAGTGATGACAAACTTAAACCTAACATGACGTTGAGAGTGAAGGTAAATATGCATTGTTATGTATTATGGTTGTGTGTGTAATGTACAAGGTGACTGCAGGGCAGATCACAGTGACCAACATACATTTCACTGCATGTGTTGTATTTGTACAATATGATGCTCAAAGGTTTGGGTTTCTACAGATAATACCTTTACGAGGTCAGCTTGACCCAGATCACTCTTTACATGTTGCTGTCGTAAGAAGACACTCTTAACTGCAGTTTGAAGTGGTAGGGACCAGAATGAAGTACACTTGGGACAAGAATGAGTCACAATATGCATTTGATTATAAAAAATAAACAACAGAAGAAAGAGGAGAAAATCTTACTGAGCAGGCCTACCTAAAAGTAAGAAATCAATAAATGGTCAAAGAACTGAAAGTTTATGGTTCCTATATGTAGGATTTAAAAGTTACACACGTCCCAGTGGTAAAAGTCACTGTGTACGTTTTCACCAAGATTGTGTCATTATTTATATCTATTATAACTGGTCACTGTATTTAAAATCAAAAACTGAAATCTTTCATTGACATTCCTTCAGAGCGACTGTTCTTGGTCACCTCCCTGACCAAGGCCCTTCTTGCCAGGTTACTTAGTATGGCCCCCTTTTTAGGAACAGTCCTGGTATTTCCTACTTCTTCCATTTCACACTGACAGAGGTCAGTGTGTTACTGCGAACACTCAAAGCTTTAGAAGTGGTTTAATACCCTTGCTCTGATCTATGCCTCACCACAGTTTTATCCCGGCAGTCTACAGAGAGTTCCTTGGACTTCATGGCTTTTGCCCTGACGTGCGGTCTGAATTGTTGAACCTTATATACACAGATGATTTTCTAAACTGTGTCCAATTACAATTTGGATTGTCCCAGGTGGACTCATATCAACTTCTAGATGCATCTCAAGCATAATTAAAGCAAACAGGATGCTCCTTGCCACGGGAGTGTCACAGCAGAGGGTCTAAATATTTTTGTAAAGGACAGATTTCAGGGTTTGTTTGCACTTCATCATTATAGGTTGTTGAGTGTAGATTGATGAACAAAAGTGACAATTTTGAAGGGGTCTGAGTACTCTCTGAGGCCACTCACTTTTATCTCTGTCTTTGGTCTCTACTAACTCCTGAGGGAAATATCTGGCTCTTTAGCTACTAAATGCTCCACTATGTCCCTCACTTATTCGCTGACTGTGTCTGTCTGTCTGCTTGGTGCGAGGAAAAGAGGAGAAATGCAGCATCCAGTAACTCTAGCGCTGTCTTATTATACAGTATGTTGTGTGTTCTTTCCTGGCTTGGTTTGGTGGATGTGTGACCCTGACAGCTTCACAGTGAGGACGGGCCTTCTGCAGAGCTGTGTGCAGTCAGTAGTGTTCAGTTAGCTGGGCATGCAAAACATAGACTGACTGACTGTTAAACTACATTGTCTTGTTTTCTGTTTCTACATGTGTAAAAGCTTAGAGTTTGTAAAAGGCATCTTTAGTGGAGCAGGGCCACGTAACCAAAGTAACCAAACTTTACTCTTTAGTTTACGATGAGTAATATCTAATGACTAATTCATTATGTTTTCCTGGTAACTTGCCCTAAACTGCACAATTTTGCTGATACATCCGTAGTAATCTTGCACAAAATAGGAACGAAGAACTGTAAGAAAAAGCAGGTGCTTTCATTTCCTTCACTTTGCTCACTTTCTCATCCACGCTTCCTCTTTGCAAAACCTCAATTCAGAGAGTTTCTTTAAGGTCATGTGTATGTGCAGTGAGGTCATGGACCTGTATGAATGTCTCACTAACATTCATAAAATCCAAATAGAAACACATAAAAAATAACACACAAAACTGTTTGAGCTGTGGAACTACCAATGACAAATTCTGGCATTGTATCTCTGAAAAACTCTGGGATGATTAGCAGATTGTGAAGCCAAAGCAATGCCAATTGAAGTCATTGTTCACAACCCATTTAAAGGGAACAGCAGCGTAGGCGGTTCTCAAGTTGTAAACAAATGACCATGAAAGTCACTGGTGCCACTATGTCAGAGTTTGTCTGAATGAGTTTTTCTGTTATGTACAAAATATTTAATTCTTGTGGCTGTTTGTGTGTCTGGAGAACGTGCATATTTTCTGACTAACTTTCTTTTTTCCTATAGTCTAAGGTCTTCACAAGGACGCCAACCCTGTATCTGGACTTCCGGCTGGAGACAGGGGCCCTACATGTGCAGCCAGTCCCCTCAGGTAGGAGAATAGCATTTCTGAATTCAGCACAGTTTACCTATAAACGGATGGTTGATAACAATAATAAGTGCCAGAGTGGTCTGTGATGATGCTTACACAAAGACCGACCTTAGGCCGCCCGTCCTCATTTTTCTTCATTTCCTGTTATTGGAAGCATACATGTATTCTGAAGTCTCCTTGTTATGAAACGATCCTGTTCACCACAATATGTGAGAACATAACATGGAAATGAAAAGAACAGGCTCCGCTTAGAAATAGCACTTTTTCCTTCATTTAGGTGATTTTGTTTCATTAAACATTCACAAAGCAGATTTGTCCTAAAAGTTCGAAGCAGTTGGAGGAGAGAGAGAGAGAGAGAGAGAGAGAGAGAGAGAGAGAGAGAGAGAGAGAAACAACTATCCTGAAGTGTAATTTAAAGTCTTCTCCGTTTAAATCAGCATTAGACAGCGTTTCAGTCAGATCAGCTTTATTTTATTCAGTTGACTCAATATGTGACTGTTATTTCTGGCAGAAAGTCTGTGTGAATAATTGTTTTTTTGTACAGATTAAACAAACTTGAAACCAACCTCCAAGAACATTAGATCCTACATTATCCTACAATAATGCAACTGGATATTATCTTTTATTAACCATGACATTATAAAACAGTCCTCACAGGTTGAGTACTTCTTGTGCTGACTAAACTGAGCTACATGTGTAAAATTTTTGAAGTGCCTCTTTAATTTTGTAGCTTTATTGCATTTAAAGTGGCTAAAACTATACTTTTATAGTAACAATGTGTAAAATGGATGGCCCTTCAGAGAATTATCAGCTGAATTTGCAGTTCCCTTTAGTTTTGTGAAGCTTTATAGCAAGTTTCCGCTCACTGTTAAGCTCTCACCACTCTCAGAGCATCAGTTTCGGCTACAGCAGGCAGCTGTTTCCAGGAAAAAAAAAAAAAACTCTAAAAATCCACTTTACACTACCTGCCCAGACAGAACCACTTAGCAAACAGCTGGTGAACACAGTGGAACATTTATGTAGCTGTAGAGCATGATATTTCCCTCGGGAGATGATAGACACCTAAAACAGCTAACGTAGTGGTAATGTTTCTCTGGAACTGCTGGATGTGTAAATAAGCAACTGTTTTCTAACAAGCTCACCGTGTCAAATTAAAACCTGGTGATACGTCAATGTTATGTTCACACCTTCTGAATCCTCCACGTGGCAAAAAAAAACTGATATTGCAGGTTTTCCTGAGTTTTATTTGAAGTGTAGAAAAGAAAAGAAAATATATTTGTGGGTTTAAGAACTAAAAGAGCTCTAGTAACAACAGGTCGGTGAGCAGAAGAGAGGCTCTGAACCTTTCTCTCTTCTCTTCTTTTTGAAACGGTTCACCAACTTCTTTACTTCACATATATCAGTTATAAAATATCTCTGTGTCTGACAGGATGGACTACATTCATCTACACTTTATCAGGATCCATTCATGTTGGTGAGTTAACAAAGGCTCACTCCACACCCTTTTTATTTCAGCTTTAGCTTTTAGATAGTTTATCATACTGACTAACACTTCAAATTAACATAAGAAGAAGAAGAAATCACAAATAACCATGGTGTCACGAACAGTCTTAGTTGGACGTGTGCACTCTTGTCCGTGTATTTGATCACTCCCTCACTTCCCTCTCCGCTCTTCCTGCTGTCATATCTAGGTTACAAACGTGTGTGATCTCGGTCCAATCGCAACCTCCCTTCTGCATGCAGCCAAAAGGCCCATGTGTTCCACTTTAAAGCTTGATGGATTCATACTGTCACTAAACTATGATGTGTTCAGGCTTTAGACTAAACCAGTTCAATCTGAAATTTACCCAACATCACAGGAAAAAAATCATTGCACTACTGTGCATAAAATATGACCATCGTAGAGTTTGGCTTCATATCAATCACCTTACCCACATGTTGTAAGTTGCTGTTTGACCTTATACTGTAAAATACTGCATTTCCTGCTCTTTTGGACGACAACATGTGATCAGGGAATTCCCCTCGCATGAGAACAAACCCTTTCAGACAGCAAACTAATTTTCAGCGGCTTTGTTGGTTTGTTGGAAACCTGTTGTTTTCGTTCAGAATTCCCCTTACGATATTCCTTCACAAAATTTCATTGTGATTTGATTATTCTCCATCATTACACTGCAGGATCTCTCTCTGTCTCTGTGGTTGTAATCTCTGTCAGATGTCAGATGACACGAGAGGATGAAAATGGCTGCTGAGATTAAAGAAGTTATTTGAATGTTAAGTCTCCAACTCTACATGTAGTCTGGCTAAATCAGAACCAGCTGGCTTTGATGAATGGGTCGACCACAAGTGGAAGTGTCTGGCTTTCTCAGTGTTTAGTGTCAGTATGTTTTGCAGTGCGCAAACAAACTGCTAAACCAGGTCAGAATGTCTGAAACATACAGGTGCCTATATTTCTATTTTGTTATGCTACAAAGATCTGTGGTGTCCCGACATTTATGAAACAGAAGTAATTATTTTTATTGATGCACATGTCAGCTCATTAACAGCAAGTAAACTGGTCTTGGATGAATAATTAAATGGTAATACCAAACAGAGCAGGTTTATTGTGTGTATTATTCAGCATCATAGACAGAGACAGTGTTCAATATGAACGAGCATTGGCCTTTTCCTGTTCTCAAGGCCCGGATCAGGAGCAGCAGAGGGTGGAGGCCCATCACACAGTCGTGTTTGGAGATGGAGACTGTGTCAAGGTAGAAAACAAGGTGAGAAACTTGAGTTCTCTGTATCAAGACCAGTGGCTCCCAAACATTTTTCCATGAGCAATCTGCTCTACTCACCCTCACAGGTTTTGGTCTTATTGTGAGGAGTTCTTGTCCCAAGAAAACATCCAGTGTTTCATTTATAGAAAAAAAGCTTTAGACAAAAGTAAAAAAAAAAAAATCTGTGCAACAGAAATATATGATTTTCTTTATTTAATCATCATGTGAACCAAAAAGATATACTCTATTGAGACCTATTGAGGAGGTCCTGATCCCTGGGCTTGGAACCACTGATTTTGAAATTACAAACGAACTCACACACACTGACAAAGATGATAGCTCTGCCTCTTATTTCCTCCTCAGGGCTCTGAAGTTTCCCATTTTGTGCTAATTGCTGGAGAACCACTCAAAGAGCCCGTGGTACAACACGGTACGTGATTTGAGTTATTCCCTCCATGTCACTGAATGAAAGAAATCCATGGTGTGTTTCAGAAGTCACAAACAGACCTCAATCTACCACTGAAATAATTTACGTTTGTCTGCCCTTCAGGTCCATTTGTAATGACCACAGAAGAAGAGATCAGTCAGGCCATCAAGGACTACCAGAGTGGCAGAAATGGCTTTGAAAGGGCCGTAAAATGGAGATCCAAGATCAGAGATTCTGTCTAAACACTACGCTGTTGCACTCAAACATATTTATAGAGATATTTTTTTGTGATAATTAAGTACAAAACGAAGGTGGAAGTTTGATGTTTGAAAACACTAAATATATGCTGTATGTACTTTCCAGCATCTGTTTTAACTTGTTACATGTCCAAGTGCTTCATGTGGGAGTGAATGACATGCCCCATTGTTAGCACAGTAGTAATTTACCCCCTCTCCCTTGTAAAGTATAGATTTTTAGGGAAAATCTGCATCTAACTGCTCTGCACTTCCCTCGTTAAATTTTAGTTCTGTAATAACTCTGTAGCAGAGCTGTTATGAAATTCTGAAAGCTGCTTTCACACATTGTTATGAAGATAACTTAGCATACTGCGCTTCAATTAAGTATAACAGTTCAACCACTGTTTTGATGTTTGATGGCACACATTCATGTGCCGCAGATTCTGCTGAAAGCAATCAACTTTTATTTAAATCCAGCTGCTGTAAAACAAAAGGAATCAGTGTTCCAGTTACTGCATATTACATGACCTCAATAACCGAAAACCTACCACATAAATATGTTGTAAAAAAAAAAAAGTTTTTGCATGTTTCATTATTATTATAATTATTATTATTAAGTATTGGTTTTGCAGCCTACAGAACAGATGCTCAGGCTGCTGTTCCTCATTGGCATACAAATTAAAAATTCTGTTCTCATATTTAATCCATTATGTATGCTACATGCTGAGTCAAATGGGCCTGGATGGGTGAGGGGGGTGGGGTGTCGGTGGGACAGGGGTGGTGCTGGCATCCTATTTCCCCTCACACGTTACGGAGGTCTGGATCACATTTAAAACACATGTTACTGCTCTTTGGCTGTGTGCGGTTTGGCAACTCCAGAGGAGAAGACACTGATAGGGAATTTAACAGTCAGAGGACTTCATCACTTGACAGACAGATATTAAGAAAGCAACACGGGGACAGACAAGCAAAATAAAAAGGCGCGCTTCATGGCAGAGCGATCGGCAAGAGGAGGAGAGACATAAAGGCAGACACCAAGATAGACATACAGGCTTCTCAATAGCTCTGTCAGAATTAGCCCAGATCTTTGAGGAAGGGATTGTGTGGCCATTCTTGCACCTCAGGACCTTTTGTCTTTGGACACTACGATCTGGAGAACTGAGGAGTGACAGAGGGAAAAGTTTAACACACAGATATTGTTACCATTGAAATTAACAGCTAAGGGAAACCAGAGGCCAGCAGCCTTCCAGGTGGTAGGAATATAAAGAAGAAAAGAGTTTGAGCAGAGAGGACTTTGTTCAGATCATCTAGCACGAGGCCCTGTGATACCTCACAGGCCTTCAATCCGTTTGGACAGAGTTCGCTGATAAGGAGTCTTCATTGGAATCTTGACTTTCATTTTCTTTCTTTTGGTAATTTTCAACTTCTGACTTCTAGTAGTGTTGTTATTTAACTGGACACCTCAGGTTCTGCGTCAAAGTTTCAGCAGTAAAAGTTATATGTTTTAAAGGCCTCTCTCCATTTGGCTCACGGGTGTCTGGGTTGCTGTGACAGGTTACATCTGGCTAAGGCACACACACACTCTCTCCACTGTGAAGCTGGAAGAGTTTGTGTTGCACATACTTGCACTGAGAAGACTGAGTGTGTGTGTGGTCTGAGGGACTCAGCTGGTCTGGGAAACTGAGTCAGAGAGGCAGTCAGTTCTTAGTGCTGTCTGCCAGCAGTAAGAGAAGACAAGTTCATACTGCTGAGTGCTGCTCAGAGAAAGCGAGCGGAGCCAAGGGATGATGATGACAATGAAACGGACCCTGTGCAGACTCTCCTGCTTGGTGACTCTGGTGGTGGAGCTGAGCTGGATAAACGTGGGACACAGCATGCACAGAGAGGTAGGAAGTAGGGTAAGTGTGGCATGAAAGCTTTATGTCTTCACGTATGTAATAATCTCTTGCAGCTGACTGCTTTTTTTGGAGCTGATGTATAACTTTAACTTCCCCGTCTACTTGATGATTCGGGGATTGATTTCATTTGTTCTTGCGGTGTTGCGTAGCCTCTTTAGTTTTTTTCACTCACGAATCCCGACTTGAACAGCTGTTGAGAGTGCAGTACACTCACATGTGCTCACTGTGCTCTGTCCACTGAAATCAAAACTGACATCACTGCAGTCATGTGCACGCTTGCATGAGGCTAAAAGGGGAAATGCTCGTCAACATTGTATCTGCGTCAGAGGGACTATTCAACCAATTCTCCCCTCTTTTTCACTCTTACTACTTAAATCGGTTTTCTCTCTCAAGCCATCAATCATCTCCATTATGTTCCTCTCTATTTAAACCCTCCCCATCTTTACCTATAGTTTAGTTCCTGTCATCCCTCTCTGAGCCCCCCCACCCCCCACCCCCTGTTTTTCATTACTTGGTCTATCCCCTGGTAGAAATTGCAGAGGGGAAACCTCCCTATTTTCTGTTGTTTCTCTGATTTAAGTGGAAGCAGTCAGCCAGCCAACCTGCCCCACCCTCTGTTCTGCAACACACTGAACACATCAGAGGGCTCAGATCATTATGGTTGTCCAGAGTAAATAAAACAAACATTGCGCAGACAAGTGCATGACTGTCCGCTCAGATGTGCCTACGCCCCGGTGGCAGACCTACCATCGGGTATCAGGCTTTGGCTTTCCTGCCTCAAAAATGAGCTCCTAAATTTTAACTCTCCCCTCTCTCACTCAGACAGATCACACCCTTGGCTCTTCAAAGTCTATTAAAATCTCAACAAGTTGAAACAAAAACAAAGCTGTAAAAATCTTTCACATAGGACATAATTTTGGATTCAGTGCTTGACATTACATTTCATGATTAGGAAAAAAATAAAAAATTTAAGTATTGGACTCCGCATCCAATCGATTGTGCTTCCATTTCGTTCTGGTTTATGTCTCCATGGGAACTTTGCTCCTCTGTGGTAGCAGCATGACAGGTGGTTTTATTATTCTCTCCCACCCCGGAATCACATCTCTTCTCCTCTCTGTTAATACTTTAAACTGTGTGTCAGTATGTATATGTATGTGTACATACCGGACATGTGCTTTTTAAGTGGATGACACTGCTGCCTCCTCTCGAAGTCCATACTGGTGGCTTAGCTGGCTAGGGTCCATATATTTTCAAAGTCATGGGATTAAATCTTGTTTCATCTCATTCCTCATGTCCTTTGGTAGCAGGGACTTCAGAAATGAGCAGCTTTCAGAGACAGAGAGACGTGAAGACAGACTGGAGCAGACAAAGGTGCTGCTTCAGCTGTTGAAAATCACACTTTGATTAACAGGAGTGACATAAGGCCAAAGTCTCCGAGTCACTCCACACTTCAGCAAACATCATATCAACTCAGTGTAAAGCACGTTAGCAGAAAATGATGCACAATGCATAATGTAGCTCTTAGTTTTGTTAATGTTGCCCAGTTCAGCTTTTCTAACATTTTACTTGCTTATTTTTTGCTTGGATGTTTTGTTTAACAAAACTAAGAGTCTGCAGCCATGTTATCAGCTCGTAATATTTACTATAGCTGTGTCCAAAATTACTATTACTGAATAGTGCACAACATTTACCCTCCACCATTTTATCTAAGTGTGAAATTTATTCCCTATAATGCCCTCAAAATCTGAAGTGCAAATTTAATAGTGCAACTTTATACCTCTAAGTGATGAAGCAGACTAACAGACTGAGTGTCTGAAGTCTCAGTTTACTGCTCACCACTGAGTGGACTATTTTGTGTCTATCACATAGGGATGAGTGAAAGAGTGATTGTAGATGCAGACTCAACATTAAAGAGACTGTGATTCTACTCATAACTTGCTTTCAAATAAATTTACAAAGAATCGTTCAAATAAATGTGGGATTTTGAAAGCTCACAGCATTTCCATCCCAATAGAGTTAGTTTTGTTGGCTATATTTAGATTTAGTCTTAGTCCTGAGATAAAAAAGTCCATGATAGTTTAAATTTTCTTGTCAATTTTAGTCCATTAAGTCTCATGTAGTCAAAGAAAAACATAAACAGTTTAGTCTCGCTGTAGTCGACGAAAACACTTGACATTTTAGTCTAGTTTTAGTCGAAGGTTAGACAACATAGCTGACTGGGCTTCTGACTTTCAGTGAGACTAAATCCCCATCTACAAGCAATGTAGCAATCCCCCTTTTGTTGGGAGATTCTAATACATAATATTTCCGCACTGCCTTCAGTAGTTGGCTTAATACAGCTTTTGTTTCGTTACTTTACCTCACTTTCTTCTGGTGAGCCTTAATATGTCTCTTCAGGTTTGTGGTAGTCTCACCAGCTATTTTATGGCCACATTGCTTTCCCTTTGATAAAGTGATGCATTTGGTATTTTTTTCTCATCCTTAATGTGATGAAAATGGGCCAAAATATCATCTCACTTCTTTCACCCGAGCCCTGTTGTTGTCTTGTTAACTACCCGTGAGGTACTCCTCACTGTGCACCATGCTGTGCTCTTTTAGTGCTGTCAACATAACGGCTGCGTTGAAAAGAAAACAGTCACAGGTAGTGTTTAATGATGTCAGTGCCATCTCGTCATCGTCTTGTCTTAGTCATGGAAACAACAGGTATTGATGAACACATTTCGTCTTAGTTTTCGTTAACAAAATCAACACTACATCCCCAAAAGACAGGAACAGCGATATCAATTAAATGAAAGACCAAGAATGAGGGTTTTCTATGTATTTGTGTTAATGTAAGACATGAAAAGATGACTGACTGTGATCCCTGCAGGTAATGAAGCAGTGGGAAAGGAAAGTGCGGTCAGCCTCCAGCCTGGATGAGTTGCTGAGGCTCGCAGACTTTCCTGACTGGAAGTTGTGGAAGTGTCGTCTGAGACTGCAGCAGCCAGAGGCCCAGACAGAGACCCTCTCTTCTCCGCCTTCAGTAGGGTCACACCGCTCTACGCGCTACGCTGCCGAATCTTACAGCCTGGAGATACTTAAAGGTTGGGTGAAACATACAGTATGTGTTACGTGCAAGCCTGTTTATGTGTGCTGATGTGGTTGTGAACATTGCGTGTCTTGCATTCAGCCATAGATGAAGAGTGGCAGCGGACTCAGTGTATGCCAAGGGAAACATGTGTTGACGTGGCCAAGGAGCTAGGCACCGACCCCTCAATGTTCTTCAAGCCACCTTGTGTGTCCATACACAGGTTTGTTTAATATGTAGCCTGATCCACAATTTCAACAACTTTAAGCTCAAATATATGGTGTTGTCCTTGCATCCTACCTAACACTCAAAGCCACACAACTTGTCTGCAGTCATTGTGTTGACAAATGTTGAAATAATGTCCATATCTGACATCTACAAGACTGCATAGGTCCTCAAACAAGCACCTTGTGTTTCATATGACACAGTGAATCTCTTTAATATCAGTTCACAACTATTTGTGAGGCTGTTTTAATATGTTTTTTAATCATATTGTTAAAGGAAGAGTTGAACATTTTGGGAAAGGCTCTTATTTGCTTTCCTGCCAAAAGTTAGGGGAGGAAGGAGGAGGATACCACTCTCATGTCTGAAGAGTAAATATGAAGCTCCCACCAGCAGCTGTTTAGCTTAGTTTTTAGCATAAGGATTGGTAAAAGAGAGAAAACAGCTAGCCTGGCAACTGTCCAGCAATTTACTGGAGTCTTCTTGTAACCGCGAGGTTGAGATGACAAAGAGACTGGCTTTTAAAAAACCGAGCCTTAGAGGAGCTGGTAGGAGGTAGGATTTTGTTAGCCTACCTATAGGCAGATCCAGGCTAGCTGTGTCCCCGTGTTTACAGTCTTTATGGTCAGCTAAGCTCTGACACTGTGTATTTATCCTAGTAGTAATAATAGTTTTAACTTTTCATGTGAAGCACTTGGTGCACGTAATTTCTTTGTGGCTGACTTTGAGAAAAGTCATAGTGTATGTGTCCTGAATGTATGGCACTGTTTTATACTGAAGTTTGTGCCATGCACATCACTTTACCCAGATGTGAAATGATTTTCCTACTGACAGGTGCAGTGGTTGCTGCAATCAAGAGGGTGTCACCTGCAGAAACACAACTGCTGTATATGTGAATAAAACTGTGAGTGACCAAATCCCAGATGATATTTTTATTTAACCTTTTTCTGAGGGTTTGAGTACAAACACTCTTACACTATTGTGTGTGTGTGTGTGTGTGTGTGTGTGTGTGTGTGTGTGTGTGTGTGTGTGTGTGTGTGTGTGTGTGTGTTTCAGGTCCTTAGTGTCATTCCGTTCAAGTTTGTACCAGAACCTGTGCTAATAAAAGTAGTTAATCATACAGAGTGCAGGTGCATGGAGCCCGCCATAATACGACGTAATGCTCAACCTCACAGGAGCAGTGGGTGAGTCCAAAACCTTTGTCTTATTTCTCATCTGAATTTGTTGTGATATTTTCTAATCCATCTGGTCTAATCCGTCATTGGCAGGTGCTCTCCAATGGGCCAGCTGTCAGAGACAGAGGACTCCAGGAGACTTTGTGCCAGTGGGTTGATCTGGGATTGTTCCACTGACAGATGCATATCTTACCCTTCCAGTACACCAGGTGTGTGTGTGCGCGTGTGTGTGTGCGTGTGTGTGTGTGTGTGTGTGTGTGTGTGTGTGTGTGTGTGTGTGCGCGTGGGTGCGTGCGGTGTGTGTGTGTGTGTGTGTTGTGTGTGTGTGTGTGGTGTGTGTGTGTGTGTGTGCGTGCGGTGCGGGTGCGCGTGCGTGGGTGTGTGTGTGGTGGTTGTGTGTGTCGTGTATGTGTGTGTGTGTTGGATGAATTGGCACAAAACTATGAAAAGACAATTGTAGTTTCTTCATAATGTATCCTAATGATGTCTGCTGTTTTAGAAAATACATGTAAAACTAATGACATCCCCACCAACCTCAGCTGTACTTTGTGTTTAGTGCTAATTAGCAAAAATGAGTATGTTAACCCCCCCAATGAAGATGGCGAACATGGCAAACATTATATCTGCTAAAGATCAGCATGTAATCATGAGCATGTTAGCAGTTAGCTCAAAATCCAAAATCCAGGTATATCATATCTAGAGAATATGTTCTTTTTTTTCTTTTAATGACATATTAAAGTGAATTGAATATGCCGTAAATTCATTATCAAAGTATGACCAACTTGTCGATGTTCATACAGAGATTCAGCTAAAATGAAGAATATTTTATGTACTGACATTATTACCTCCTGTTTAGAGTTTCCATTCAGTTCATGGATGCCCGATTGTGAGATAGATGTGGAGCACTGTGACTGTCTTCCCAAACCTGCACCAACTCTTCAACCAAGACCGATCCATCGCTGCCAACTCAACTCTTCAATCTGCGCCCACAGGCGTCAGCGTTTTGATCAAGCCTCCTGCAGGTATGCCAGACAGAGGATTTAATATGATAATCTGTTTGTTTCCCACTGACACGTTTAATTACTCTAGTCTATACTCCAAAGTGACATCAGACACACAAAAGACATGCTCAGATACTGTCGTTATCATATAAGCAACAAGTGAAATGATAATGTTGAGGGGAAAATGTAGTGAGGAAGTTATTAAACAGGTGCTGGGAAACAGGAAAAGTGAGCAAATGAATTTTGGACATGCAAGATGAACTGAATAAAAGTGATCTGTTTCTAAAGCTCCTGAGTTCAGGTTCATCCGGGGCGAAGGCTGGCAGAGCGACAGACATTTAGAGCTCTCCGGCGTCTGAATTCATGCATATTTTATATCTCTAAATGATCCCTCTTTTATTCACAGATGCAAATGGCCCAAGTAGAAGTCCACTGGGGAAATAAATTACGACAACCTGCTCGCCAAGGATGTTTGGAGGCAGAGAGAATAGGCTCATAATTTATTTACAGTCCTATTTATGCTGATCATTTTAACTAATTAAGATGATATTAACTCACAAGACCATGTTAATTGATTATTTTAACATGTTTACGTTATGTTTCAATCAATGTGTCAAGTTTATGTTTTGTACATTTGTTCTTTGTGCACTGAATATGTAGTTTACATTAAAAGATTATTTTTATAATTTGAATCTGCTATGAATGTATGGATTATTGCTTAACTCCAGATGGACATTTCACCAATATTCCCATTAAAAAAAAAAAAAAAAAAAAAAAAAAAAGGGTGCAAAACCTGCATGCTTCATTGGCAACAAAGAAAAATATCATTTAAATTCAAAGTAAAAACAGACTTATACAATGTAATCTAAGATAATTAACATATAAATTACATATAATAAAACACAAAACACTAGTTTGCCTAAGTATTCACCATCTTTAATTTACCAAGTGGTAATAGAAGTCACATAATCAGTTCAATGGAGATCACCTGTGAGAAGTCAAAGGCTTTCAGCTGATTGGAGTATAAACACACCTGAATCTGGGGGGCTTGTGAAAGTAGAGAGTAAAATCAATACACCAACATTATAGGGGGAAAATGCTAAATGAAAATGTGATGCAGTGTGCAGGAAATCTGCACAATGAGCAATGAGCCCAAAGCATAAAGCATAAAGTGGCTACAGACTCAGAGTCCAGATCTCTATCCAGTTGAGAATATGTCTACATGTGGATTTGGGGAAAAGGCTGTTCATTCAATCCCCATGCAGCCCAACACAGATTTTACAAAGAACAATGGGGGAAAAATTCCACATGTGCAAAGCTGATAGAGACCTGTCCACACAGACTCAAGGCTACAACTGCTGCCAAATGTGCATGTAATACTGACTTGGAAGCGGTGAATACTCTGTCAAACAAGTATTGATTTAGATCATTTTGTACAGATCTGTTTTCACTTTGACAGTTTCTCTCTCATGCTGATCAAAAATAAAGCCACATTAAATCTACTTTGGTCAGTGTTGTGGCGCAATAAAACATACTTTTACATACTTTTTATAAGCGCTGTAAGAGCTGACATGAGATGAGATCCGCTGCATTGCTATCTATTCAATAGCTGCAATTTTTTTTGTTAGCCAGATGGTGGTGGAGAAGACAGAAACCTTCACCTCCATTTGTTTTGAGCTTCCAGGTGAAAATCTATCTCCTCTGATAATGTTTAAAGACCTGCAGCAGAGATGACACAGCTTTTTTTGCAGACAGAGTGGATTGTAAACACAGTTTCTCATAAACCAGGACCAGGTCATTAGTAAATGTGTTTATTTTACTGTTGTTGCTTGGTGAATATATTGATTTCCAGTCTGGTATTCCTATTGATTTCCTCAGCAGTGCTGCTGATGTGTAAAATACAAACATTAAAAGTGTATACTGTATACCTTCCTCCTTTTGTTTGCATCACAATTGATTTGGGGCCCATCATATAATGGTAAGATACCATAAATGTTTTAATGTTGTGTTTCAGAGCTCCGGAGGATACATTAATAATGATGTCTGTGACTGTGACAAGCTCTCCTGTGGGTGCTCGCAATATTAAAGAGTATCAGTGGTGCCTTTGGGAGTCATATAGGCTGTAACCAAGCGTCAGCAGACCTTGATAGGCAGACACCACAGGGAGAACCGCTGTCACATTTTTAGTTGTTGTAGAAGAATGAAAAAATGTCAAAATGAAAATATGATATAGTACATATCACATGTGATGCCTTAAATTATTATTTGAAAACAGCATATTCCAGATTTCATGATGAAGCAAAATACTACACAAGATGAAGTTACAAGGAGTTTTGTCTCCCCCTTGCTGCACTCTTTGTGTCCTCCTGTCATCTCACTGTTCTCACTTTTACTTTGGAACATGATGAGAAAATAACAGTTTCTACTGTTGCAAACTATTTTGAGAAGAATATTCAACCCATGTTTCTAATTTACCTAATACCATGGATCTAAATCCCTGTCCAATGAATTAAACTCATGTTGGTTTGGCATTTATTTAGTGCTATATTGAAATAGAGATGAATATTAGACTAAGAGATTAATCTAAATATTTAAGACCATGATCTCATTAAATCCACTGAGTACTTAATGCAAGTAGTAAGCTATTAATTTCTTAGCTGTCAAAAAAAATGACAACTGAGCATCAATTTAGAATTGTGTTTAGAAGACAAAGTAGTAAAGTAGAAGTAAACTGACCTCCCCGGAGGTGATTCCTTCAGGTGAGTCTCCCCAGAGCCAAACACCTCAACACCTTCCAGTGGGGATTGAGGAGGGTGAATCTGTGCTGAGCTTTATATTCACCCTATTTTTACCTTCACAAATGGTAGCCACACATTTACACTGTACCTCTATTTGCTATTCTCTATTTACTTCCACTTGCACATAGGCATTGCACAAAGGCCTGGCATAAAGGCTGGAAATAGGGGGAACAAAATCCAAATGTGTAAAAACAACACGTGGTTTTACAACTGCCTTTGTGTAAGACTATTTCTTGGCCAAGGCACAATGACTTCAGGCAAGCAGTCAAGACTGCCTCCAGCCAAGAAATAGTCCTGCACATAACCATGTATAAAACCATATTTAATATATTGTGACAAGGTGGGACACTGATGCTGGGTGTGAGGCCTGACTACCAGTCACTGCTCCAGTCCATCCTACTTTAAACAACATCATCATGTTGTCAAAGGACAGGGCCTTCACTAAACTGTTGCCACAAAGTTTGGAGCTCTGTATTGTCTCAATTATCATTATGTAGCTACTATAGCATTAAGAGCTGGCTTCATAGCCCAAATAGCTCCAGGCCAAAAGTTTACAAGTGTGTGTTCACATACTTTTAAAACTTGATATAGTGTAGGCTGTAAATTACATAATCAAACTGGGACTTAGTGGGGCTGCAGTATAAAAAAGGGCTGTATCTGATGCCCATATCACAAGCTTAAAGGAAAGGTGTGTGCTACATATGGCCCTCGGTGACTTCAGTCCATCTAAAAGACCTGTGGGAGATTTTCACACATTTTCACACAGACACTGAACATCATCAGGTTCTCTTTATGCCATCCACAGTGCCAAAGGAAAAATAGCCACATATCTCAATTTGTGCTGTCAGGAATATACAACTGCATATTACAGGACATGAAACTGCATGGAAAATCTGTAATTTTGGGCCCAGTGGGTGAAAAGAAAAGGACGTGTCTCATCATGGGACAGTTATCTTTTATGAAGTCAGAAAAAAAGACAAGTAGCATGAAGAATGAAAGCAAGCCTTTCACATCTTGATTCCAGCCAACAGTAACAAGTGTGTTAAGATGAGCAGATTGCTAAATTGCAGAAAAGATTTCTAAGCAGTGGGATAAAAATGTGATGAAGTGACATAATTCAAAATCCTCCAGTCAGAATGGTTATTTGGCTTGTTTTTCCCTATTACCTATAATAGCACCTGTAGGAGTGTCTCCTCAGACGTACTAGACCTTTGTTGTCATGAATACAATAATGAACATGCAGTTAAGCTTGTGATTATTGGTTTAACACCGGAAAACGAACAGCAGTCTCTTCTGTCTAAGTCCTGTGTTTTGTCGACCCATCCATCCACCGCAACCGTCTCCTGGAAACACAAAGTCAGAAAATATGAAAACAACAAATATATTTTTCAATATATCGTTCTCTAAATAAAATGAAAATGTTGTTGAGGAGTTAAAAAAAATCACTGGACATTGTACAGAAAGTGACACATGGCACAAAGACAGAGCTTCAAAGAAAACAGAAGATTAATTTTGCTCTGTTATAAGATGACTACAGATGCTGTTAGGAGGCTCCCATGTCACCAATAATAACTTCTGTCTGAAAGTCATAAATTTCCCCTGAGACAACACTGACATCAACTCCGGAATGTGATGACATTTTATTCCTCTGATGTGCTTTGATAGCTCTGGTACTTTGCATTCAGTTGCTTCCTAGGCAAACACGTAAGCCTGACAAGGGCACCAACCACATGTGGATCAATACACTGCTCAGTGAGCACATGCCCTCACACAACATTAACCTTTAGAGTGACTGTGTGAGGGGCTCAGGAGGGCTGAAAATGTTTTTGCTTTCAGTTTCTCTTCTCCTGCTGACGGTTATATCTACCTGTCTCTCTAAGATGAAATGAAATGCCTGTTATACTGTGTGATTGGACCTGACAGAGTGGTGTCACTGTAAAAACAGGAGAAAAGATACTTGGTGAAAGCAGAAAAACATGTACAACATTAATATTAGAGGGCTCTTATGATATCCATGTTTGCATACTAGTTAAAAAGCTAATTTATGGATTAAAAACGCTCATTTAAATTGGATTAAAAAGTGAGAAGTGTACATCATTTTACAATCAATTTTTTTAGTTTTGAGTGCATCATCCAGGTACTTATACTGCATGTTGCAATACTTGACAATGTGAACAAACTTACACACTCAAAATAACAAGTGTGGGTATGGAAGTACGCAATTTAAGACACAGCAAGAGTCTAATACTACTGACAGATTGTGAATTTCTTAAAGTCACTTTACTTTATTAGATTGTTTGAGCTTCACTGTGCAAAATGGTGTATGTGTAGTATTGCACAATAGAAGGTTGTTGTCAAAGTCAAAACCTGTTAGAAAATGGAACTATATCATATATTGACATGTATGTTTAGCTAATAGAAACATGTGTTTTAGTATGTCTGTTTATATGAAATAATAATTTATACAACATATATTACATAAATATATATCCATCCTAAAGCCTGTCAATATATGCTCATATTATATATGTAAACATAAAACATAGACATGTATGTTTAAATTTAATAAAAGTTTTGAATAAATTATTAATAAAATCATATACAACATAGTATAGTAAGGCATAAAAACGTCATACTAAAGTAAGTAATTAAAACATCATAGTATGGTAAGGCAAAAAAAAATTCACAATACA